CGGAGAGCAAGCAGCAGTCCCAGAGGGGGAAGCAAGCCGCTCTCCGCCGTCCGTGTCGTCCCCCCAGTGGACGCGGCAGAGCGCGCAGTCAGGGCACAGCGGCCGGCACCCCGGCTGGCGCAGGGCCGGTGCAGCTCAGGCGGCTGCCCGGGCCTCACCCGCTCCTAGCTGCTCTGAGCCTCAGCCCTCCCCGTTCCAGGCCCACGCCACGGGCTGTCCTGAGGCTGAGACGGTCCCACGGGCGGGTCACAGGCTTGGCAGCGGTTCGCGTGAGATGGCAGCTACTCTCAGGTTCCACATCTCTCACCCCAAACCCAGGGGCCAAACGCTTCAGAGGCTCGAGATTGACAGACGCTAGGAAGACAGCTCGGGGCTGGGGTCACACGTCCACCAGTCACCAGAGTGCGCGTCACAACACGGGGACAAGCACACACGGGACAGCTGACTGGCACGAGCAGCCTTCCATCCGGTCCACTCGGGCCTTGCCACCCAGCTCTGGCCCCGGCCCACACAAGCACTCAGTTCCCCGAGGCTGCAGGTGCTCAGGCCTGCTGGAGCCCGTGTCCTCATGCCGCGACGGGCACGCAGACCAAGGCTTCCGCGTGCCACAGTCCAGAGGCCAGGCCTGACAGACACCCGCACACTGGACTCTGCCAGTCCAAGCTGGCAGGAGAGGCGTGATCACTCAGAGGGACAGGGAGCCCGACCGGAGGGAGGCTGGGGACTTGCGCCCCGGCCTCCGCGCCGCCGTGGGCCCGCCACCCACCTTGTTCAGCGGGTTGTGAATGCCGGCTGCCTCCAGATAGGCAGTGATCTCGTACAGGAGTGTGTTGTCTTCCTTGGGGTACGGCAGCGAGGGGTCCTGATAGTGGGCTTCGATGTCTGCCAGGAGAGCCCTGGCCAGGAAAGACAGGCGCTGGGGTCAGGACGGCTGACCCACATGACAGCCCCACGGCTGGCGGGTCCTCCCAGCCTGAGGCCGCATCTGCACGCCCAGGCCCCGAGGCTGCGCTGCTCAGGTCTGAGCCTGTTTCTGCTGACAAGCGGGAGCCTGACCAAACGACACGCACTCGGCCACTCCCGCTTTTATGAACCGCCCAGCCTGTTCTCAATACCTGCTTTGCCAAAAGCACCCACTTGGTGATGGAGGGGCACGGGCTGTTTATCTTTAAGCAGACGGCTCGGAAAGAGAGTGGGCTGTGGTGAGGGAGAGGACAGGTGCGCCCAGGACGGCCGTGACCGCCCTGCAATTAGCTTGCTTCCAGCTGCCCCCGAGGCTGAGGGCCTGTCCTGCAGAAAGCCGGCAGTGGGCTTGGCAGGAAGTGCTTTCCAGACCTGTGCAGCAACAGCAAGGTGTCGAGTGTGCGGCGTGTCATCAGCCCAGGTTGACTGAACAGAAGCATCGTGGGGGGTGGGGTGGGGTGGGAAGAAGGGAGCGTGAGGTGCACACAAGGACAGCCCCCAGGAGGCTTCTGCAGGAGCAGGGAAACCGATGGGAGCAGAGCACCCTCTTGTCCGAAAAGAACTGGAAAGGGCCAGACCGGGGCTCGGCTGTCTTGAGGACAGCCGCCCAGGCCCCCGTGGTGGCTCCAAGCCCCGGCACTTACTTGTTGAGGTTCTGCAGAGCAGCGGCCAGGTGTTTAGAGTCAAACTGGCAGGAGTAGTTCAGCTCGTTGGCAATCTGCTGTCTCAGGATCTGCATCTGCCCGACCTGCGAGCAAGCAAGGACAGCAGTGTCCACAGCATGCCCGGGGGACGGGTGGGGACGCCAGGCGGTGCGCTCTCACGGGGAGGACCACGGCTCTCTGGAAAAACGCGATGGCTCCATGGACGGCCATGGCCGAGACGGCCAGCCTCAACACGCCCCTGTGTCCTGAAGAGCCCTGATGCCTGGGATCTGCAGGGCCATGTGCCAGGGCGTCCCTTGAAGGCATCTTCCTGACCTTTGATCTCTCTAGCCTCAGCAGCGACCCGAGAAGCCGGGCATCCTTGGATCTGTCCTAAACTCAGCCTCCCAGTCTTCGGGTACCATTTCAACCAGGACCTCGGAGTGGGGGATGCTCAGCCTGTCTGCATCACTCAGGACGTGGTCGTGGGGTCATCAGGATTGCAAAACAGCCTCCAGGAAACTTCCGCGGAGGCCGCTCTAGTAACAATGACCGCCTTCTCCAGGGCTCCTCGGCCTGCCCATGGGCCCTGGACCCCTTGGGAAACTGGCGAAGCCCAGACACCAACACCTGCTCAGAGTAATGCTTTTAAATGGTCATGACGACACGGAGGATACCGGCGGAAGCCAGCTGCTTTGAAATACCAGGATCAAGTTGGGCTTGGTGGCTCGGCCTGTCATCCCGCACCTTTGGGAGGCTGAGGTGAGTGGATTGCCTGAGCCCGCGGGTTTGAGACCCGCCTGGGCAGCGAGACCTCATCTCTACAATAAATCAAAAAATCAGCCAGGCGTGGTAGCACGTGCCTGTAATTCCGGCTACTTGGAAGGCTGAGGCGGAAGGATCGCCGGAGCCCAGTGGGTCGAGGCTGCGGTGGCCAGGAGCGGCCACTGCACTCCAGTCTGGGCGACCGAGTGAGACTCCAACTCAAAAAAAAAAAGAAATACCAAGATCAAACTATTAAAACCAAATCTGGCACAGAGCTCACTGACACGGCGCATCAACCACGGAAGATTCAGAAGCAGCGAAGAGCAGCCACGACCTCTGGGGAGGCCCACGATCCCGCGGGGGGAGCGGCCTCTGCTCAGGCCTGAGACGGACTGCAGCTTGCGCCCTCAGGCCTGTCAGCAGCCGGAGGTCAGCTGGAGCCTTCTGTAGTCTCCCTCCTCCGAGAAAGGCACCCCTGAAACGCTGGCAAGACATGTGGGGGTGGAGCAGAGGGCAGGCAGGAGCGAGCACATGCCCTCTGGCGTGCGGTGAGGAGCCGAGGGGAGCGTGGGCTGCCCCGTGTGGACAAAGAGCGTCGCCCCTTACGGAGCTTGTCCCGGTCACAAGCGCTAAGTGACCTCAAACGCATTATTTCTGAGCACTATTCGTAGATGACGATTCCACTTATGTGAAAAAAATTAGTCAATAAGAAAATGCTATTTATATATTAGAAGAAATAATATAATTTATGGCGAAGTTTCATTTAAAAATTAGACTAGGTCAAGGCCAAGAAGACAGAAGTTTCTCTCAGGCCACTCTAAAGGATCCCTCAGGCCGTGTGCTTGGCGCTTGGCCCACGTTTCCTTGCTTAATTATTTATTTTTTTTAGAGACAGGTCTTGCTCCGTCGCCCAGGATGGAGTGCAGTGGCACGATCACAGCTCACTGCAGCCTTGAACTTTTGGGTTCAAGTGATCCTCCCACCTCAGCCTCCTGAGTGGCTGAGACTACAGGTATGTGCTGCTGTGCCCTGGTAATTTTTAAATTATTTTTAGATATGAGGTCTTGCTATGTTGCCCAGGCTGGCCTCAAACTCCTGGGCTCAAGTGGTCCTCCTGGCTCGGTCTCCCAAAGTGCTAGGATGACAGGCATGAGCCATCATGCCTGGCTGAATGCACCGAGTCTGGGACACCCTGTCAAGGATGCTCTTGAAAGTATCCATCTAGCCGGGCTCGGTGGCTCAGCCTGTAATCCCGCGCCTTTGGGAGGCTGAGGTGAGTGGACTGCCTGAGCCCGCAGGACCCGCCCGGGCAGCGAGACTTCATCTCTACAATAAATCAAAAAATCAACCAGGCATGGTAGTACATGCCTGTAATTCCGGCTACTTGGAAGACTGAGGTGGAAGGATCGCCGGAGCCCGGCAGGTCGAGGCTGCGGTGGCCGGGAGCGGCCACTGCACTCCAGTCTGGGCGACAGAGTGAGACTCCAACTTAAAGAAAAAGAAAAGAAAAAGAAAGTAAGTATCCATCTAGAAATGGAAAGAAAGTTGTTTAACGTGACCCGTTACATTTAATGCCTCTGCAGTCCTAGTGACTGACGTTTCTGTCTCCACGCCCTGGGACTCGGCGGGAGGCATGATGCCTGGGATGATGCATTCTGCCTGTGTATTTGCCTGCACAGACGTCTGGCTGGGCATTCCTTCTCCAAGATTTTCCTAGAGCTGCACTCCTCTGTACGGCAGCCACTAGCTGCATGTGGCTATTTAAATTTAAATTAGTTAGAATGAAACCAAGCTTGAAAATCCTCTGCTCAGTCCCACGTTCCATGTCCACGGAATGCTTCCTTCGCTGTCCAGACTGTTCACACTGGTCTAGAAACTGCATATCCTCAATCCAAGACAAAAAGGCAAATCTGGCCCTGGGGCCTCAATTCAGGATCACTGGCTCAGATACAGTCCCATGGCTCCTAGACCTCCCACAGCTGGAACTGACCACGGTCTGCTGCGGATCGCTAGTGAGCCCGGGCAGACCTCCCAGCCTCATGGGAGGACCCCTGTGTGCTGCCGTTGGCCTTTCTCAGGCCAGTCCAGCCTCAGGGTAGTTACTTTTCCTGAGAGGCTTTCCAGCAATCAGAAACGTGGCCTAGAAAGTGCGCGGGTTTGAGACCCGCCTGGGCAGCGAGACCTCATCTCTACAATAAATCAAAAAATTAGCCAGGCGTGGTAGTGCGTGCCTGTAATTCCGCTACTTGGAAGCCTGAAGCGGAAGGATGGCCGGAGCCCAGCAGGTCGAGGCTGCGGTGACCAGGAGCGGCCACTGCACTCCAGTCTGGGCGACCGAGTGAGACTCCAACTCAAAAAAAAAAAGAAATACCAAGATCAAACTATTAAAACCAAATCTGGCACAGAGCTCACTGACACGGCGCATCAACCACGGAAGATTCAGAAGCAGCGAAGAGCAGCCACGACCTCTGGGGAGGCCCACGATCCCGCGGGGGGAGCGTGAGGCTAAGGGATCGCGGCCCTCGGCGGCACGAGGACGCCGAGAGGAGTCCAAGGCACCCTGGTCACTGTGTTCCCAGTTCTGCTTGTCCAGTGGGCCACAGTAACACAGCAACCACTCACCAGTTATGGTAGATGAACTTGGCTGAGATGCCCGTGAGCCCTGTCTCAAGAAGCTCCTACAACTGGGAAGCAGGGAATGAAGCTTTTCTAAATTCCCTGAGCGTTCTAGACTCTTCCTTTGGTGTGTGATGCTTTTAACCATGAATTACAATCTTCCACCTAGAAATCTACCCTTTCTTACTAGAGCGTGAGCAGGCTTTCTGGGGAGACAGGCAGGGCTTCATCTAAGTGTCTCCCACGGCAACTGGAGAGGCCTTCGGTGACGGTGCTGGCAAAAGCTGTTGAGACCTCGGATCTTCTAATGGTGGAGGCACACGGACACGAGGGAGACACAGACAGGCCTGGGAGCCACCGGCACGCGGCAAAGGCAGGACAGGAGGCCCTGGGCTCCGTGGGAGATTAGGTTTCCACCCAGCTCATCCGCCTCCTCCTTCCTGCTTCCCACTTGCTTCCAAAGACACAGTGTTGTCTTCACAGTGCCAGTGTCATCTAAACCCCAGAGGAGCTGGTTTCGGTGTCTATGCAGACACAAGAGGAGAGACAGTTGTCGCTCTGACAACTCCTTGGAGCAGGCGAGGCTGCCACCAACTTACCATGTAAGGAGGCAGTACTAATTACTGTGGGGGGAAATTTCCATCACAACACGTGAAAGTGCCTCTGGCCAAAGGCATTGCAGAAAGAACCAGTTTTCTTGAGGAAAGGAAGCACTGGGTTCCTAAGTAAAGCCCAGTCCAGAACAGCTCCAGGAAAGGTAAGAACAGATGAATTTTAAAATAATGATAAACGGAAGCATAATATTTTGCTTTAATGACAAAAGAAAGAAGAATAGCTTTCTAGGGGGGGATAAAGTGACAAGAAAATGAAAATTTTATACATGCAGCATTGGTTACCATCCCGTCCCCCAAACATACCTTCATTATAGCCTCGAGATACGCCGTCCAAATCTTCTGGGTTTTGGCAATGGCGGAGAAATAAATTTTATTTGAATTTGCTGAAAGGTTAAAACATAGTGTTCTGTTTAGTACATCTGGAAAGGCTGCGGCGTCCTCTCCGCCTCAGGCTGGTCTCAGGACACTTACCTACAATACTCTTTAGGGGGCTGACGGCATTCATGAGGGTTTTCAGAGTCTCCTGAACAGTCCTGTCTCTCAGGATCATTTTCTGGAACATACTGAGGAAATTCTGTAACAAGAAGGCATGGTCAAAGAACCAAACATGAGACACAAAACAAATAAATACTCCAGCACCAAGATGGGGCCTAAGTCACACAAGCCACCAGTCAGGATGGCTGGGGACAGCACAGTGGCAGGTTTCTGCATGAACAGCCTGCTGAGAGGAGCTGCTGGCTTCGAAAACAAAAAAGTCTTATCCTCCCAAGCTGGAACTTCCCAGAGCTGTCAAACCATAAAAGTAGGATGCTGGCCAAGAACTTCCAACTCATTCTCTGTTCTCATCTACCCGAAGGAATCACGCGCAGCTCAAACTCACATCAGCGTAAGAAACCATGAAAGAAAAGCGAAGTGACAGTTGGGCATGGTGGCACGTGCTCGTAGCCCCAGCTCCTCGGGAGGCAGAAGCGGGAGGCTCGCCTGAGCCCAGGAGGCAAGGCTCCGGTGGCAGAGAGCACGCCGCTGCCCTCCAGCCTGGGCAACAGAGTGAGACCCCGACTCAGAAAAACCAAAAGACAGCTGAAGGGGTCTGGCTGCCAGCCCGATCGCCGAGGCCCACCTGCAGCTCCTTCACGATCATGAAGCACAGAAGCCGGTCCAGCCCGTTCAGCCCGAAGGTGCCCAGCGTGGTCTGGATTTCGGAGAAGAGGCGGCTGCTGGTCACCTCCTGGTGCGTCTTCAGGTCGTACCAAGTGTTCAGCTGGTCGATGTGGCACGTCATCCTAGCCCAAGGCAAAACACAGCACCCCCCACAGCCGCTCAGGACTGCTCCCAGAGGTGGCTCCATAGGACCGGGTGTCACCGTAAAGACCGAGAGTGCTGGTCTCTGCTTCCAGCCTCCACCCCGATGCCCTGCGTCTTCCCTGTGGCCACTGACAGCCAGTGAGGTGGACCCGGCTGCCGCCAGCTTCTGCCTGCGCCGCCTCCCGCTTGAGGCATTTCTGCCACTGGGCCGGGGTGCTGAGAAGCAGGTCAGGGCCAGCCGTCAGGCCCTGCGGCCTCTCCAAGGGACCTTCTTCACACTCCCAGAGACTGGGGACAAAGCAGGCCCATGCCATCACCACCCGGGTTCAGAGGAACCTGGAATCCTGGGCTTCTGACCCGCAAGACCATAACGGCAAAGCCTGCACCTTTCCTCCCATGCCCTGAGCTGTAGGTGCGTGTCCCGGTCGTCTCCAGATGACGCCATTCAGTGTGACCACCACCACCACCAACACCCACGAGCGCTCACTGTGAAGGCCTCCAGTGTGTTCTCACTCGAGCCTCACACATGCTCTGTGAATGCACGGCATTATCTCCATTTTACAGATGAGATCCCCGAGACTCACACAGGCCTGACCGCCCTTGACCCCATCTTGACGGTCTCCAACGTGGGGGGACGGTCTCCCTATCGGGGCTTGTTCAAAACACAGATGCCTGGACCAGACCCCAGGGGGGTCTGGTCCAGGCCTAGAGCTGTGGGCTCTGCGCTTGCCCACAACCCACAGACCAAACCCCGCCTTCTGGGTCACCACGTGCCTCCCCCAAGAAGCCCGGGAAGGAGTTCAGTGAGCCCCGGGGCAAGGGAGGCCGATTCCAGAGTGCAGACGGTGTGGAACTGTGGCTTCCAGTGCCTCCCTCTGGACTGGCATGGGCCCTCGGAATGTGTTGCCGAGCGCGTGCAGTCCTGACATGAGCCCACGCACCCCTCTGCTGTGTGGACAGGACCCTGTGGAGCGCCGGGAGGGCTGGTGGCCGAGCCTGTGGCGCCAGGACAGGCGGGCCGCAGGCCTTTCAGGCCCTGGCTCTTTCTGGCCCTTGAGTCGCAGACAAGGTCCTCACCTCTGCTGGATACTGTGGACGTTTACCACGTGTCACTTCCTTAAGCCAGGGGAGACAAACTCAGCCTGGGCCAGAAGGTGGGGTGAAGGGCCCAGGTCGCGGGACCACCGAAGTGACACAAGCTCAACAACGCACCCAGTCAGAGAAGGAAGAGAGCCTGCTTTCTGGGTGATTCTGCCCGCCGCCCCCTCGGCTGCCTGTGGCCGGGTCAGCGTGAGAAGAAGCCGCAAGCGGCCTCTCCCTCGGGTGGGCTTCGTGTCCCCTGCCTCGCCAGAGGCTCACACGAAAGAGGAGCGGCGTGCCAGGCTGCTGAGTGGCAGCCCAGGCTCCGCCTCAGCCGCCTGAAACTCCCGGGGCCGTCTTCGGGACGTGAGGGGTTCGCCCAGCCCTTGCGGGACGTGGAGGCCACGCGCCCTGCACGCAGATGGCAGCTCACCGCCCACACGGCATCAGCCGGCCCGGAGCAGCGTAGTGCTGGGGCAGCACTCGGGTCCCCCCGACGGGCAGTGTGGTCCTGGCCCAGCCACTACGCCTCCTGTGCCTCTGCTGCTCCCTCTTTAAAGCGGGAACAGGAACACCTGCCTCATCAGGGGCTTTGATGTACACATGCATGGATGTGCACCATGAGCAGAGAAGACTGTTCGTGCTCAGTGTGGGGGCTGCTGCCATGGACAGCACCCGAGGTGGCCTTACACAGGGCTGGCGCGTGACTGACAAGTGCAAGAGACCAGGGCAGGATGTGTACCACAGGGCCAAGCCTGCCTGGCACTCAAGGCTGCCGCAGATCCAGCTACACCCACCTTGGGTCTGTGATCCGCAAGATTTCTCTGCAGAGTCGACCAATAAACGTGACGGACTCGTCCACGGGGGCGAACTTGGGTATTGGAATATGTGCAGACTGGTACATGCTCTGCCAGTCCTGAATCTAGAAAACAAAGCCACGGAAGCTCAGAAAGTGCCTCATCCTTGTGATCCCTTCCCCAGATCCTTCACAAAGATAGTCCTGCAGGAAGACCGGCAGTGCATGCTTATTGTTTATTTTAAAGTCTTTGTAGAGACAGGGTCTTGCTTGGTTGCCCAGGCTGGAGCGCAATGGTGCGATGATAGTGCACTGCGACCTCATACTCCTGGTCTCGAGTGATCCTCCTGCCTTGGCCTCCCAAAGTGCTGAGATTGATTTCAGGTGTTAGCTACCACATCCAGTCTACTCCTTGGTTTTGAAGAGAAAACTCCTAAAACTAACGGCTTTCCAGAAATGCCACATAATAGTCAGACAAAAAAGGAATGCGTGAAAAGGTGAAGTGGCTAAGGTGAAGTGAGATGCGGGTCCTGGCCTTTGTCTTGCTAGTTAACGTGTGTCAGTGCAAGACCCAAGTCCACATGCCACAAGGCTGGAGGACCATCTCGAAATGCCACCTGCATCACGCCTGTTCCCGCATACAACTTGCAGGGTGTTCACTGATGACTCAAATCCAACTTCCCAGCCCTGGCACGTTTGAACCGCGTGCTCCAAATGGGCAAAGGACTTAGTGCATGTTTCCAAAGGTGACACCCAAGTGGCCAGGAAGCACACTAGCAGATGCTCGCCCAACCACGAGGGACATGCAGATCGGACCACAGTGAGACGCCACATCCCACGAGGACGGCCGGAATCAAGAAGGTGGAAACCCCAAAAACGGCCGAGGAAAGGCAGAAAGGGGACCAGCACGCCGCCGGAGGGAAGGGGACGGCCTGTGACTGTGGGAGAGTGGCAGCTCCTGAATGCGTACGTGCAGAACTACGTACCACACGGCTCAGCGACTCCACCCATCCGACTCAACAGAAGTTTCTGGAACCCTCTACCACTTGGGCGTTGACAACAAACAGCTTCACTCCGGCCATTTGACATCACTGCCTGCTCCTGAGGGCGGTCGGCTCCTGGGCTGGGTACCCTGACCACCCTCTGCATCCTCGGACTACCCAGTGCTGGATGTTTAGGAACAACTTAAATAAACATTCTTGCTTGAGTTCCTAGATCTGGGGCGTGTATATTAAACACGAGAAGTAACAAACATCGTCAAGAATTGTAAGGTGCGTCAGATACCTTGGTTCTCAGGAAGTTGTTGCACTCCTGCTCCACGTTGTAATTTATGATTCGAGATACTTCCTCCTGCCAGATCTTCAGGCCGTAGATGCTCACGTAGTCCTGAATGTACTCAAAGGAGCGATGGAACCCGTCCATGGTGGCGCCCAGCTCTTTCAGCTTGGGCATCAACTCGCTTGACTGTGCAAAGGGGACACGTACACTCTCAGGGGGGCGCAGGTCGCCAACGACCAACGCTGATGGTGGATCTCGCATGACATACCAGCCAGGAGACCACAGTCACAGTCTAAGATTGGGAAATACTCACTTCCCACTTCACCTAGGCTGAGGGGCAGCCGCCACCAGACATTAGCAAAGAGCAAGGTTCATGCACTTGGGACGGAAGCTCCGGAAAGGAATGAGAAAGGCAAAGGCTCATGGTTTCTCCCATGGCGTTCGGTGAACAGGCCGAACCCAGAAAACTTGGAGCACTTTAGTTTTGTTTTTACTTTTTTGAGTCGGCATTTCCCTCTGTCGCCCAGGCTGGAGGGCAGTGGCACACTCACGGCCACCGCAGCCTCTGCTGGGCTCAAGGCAATCCTTCCCCCTCAGCCTTCCAAGTAGCGGGAATACAGGCATGCACTACCACACCCAGTTTATTTCTTTTTTAATTTGCTGTAGAGATGAGGTCTCACCAAGTTGCCCAGGCTGGTCTCAAACCCCTGAGCTTAGGCAATCCCCTTGCCTGTAATCACAAAGTGCCGGGATTACAGGCTTGAGCCACTGCATGCAGCCACTTAAAGTATTTTAAATGGAGCTTTCTGAGATAACATACCCTACATAAAAAGTTCAGGCCAGTTTTCTTTCCTCCCGAGAAAAATTATCACATTCCCTAACAGATAAAGCAAAATAAAAAATCACAGCCTTTAAAGTTCCTGTCGGCTTTAGGGTTAACAGATTCTTTTGACTCTAAGAACTAACTCTGAATCACAGACGCCAGCTTAGCCCTGGAACTTGAGGATCAACAGGTGGGGGAAAGCAGCACCGGTTTTCAGAAGGATTTTCTGATAAGATGAACAGATTACAACACAGGACAAAAAGGCACCTCGACTGCTTGTGCTGAGAATCAGCACTGGAGACATAGTGCTAGGGGAATGGTCTTGTTTATGGCTACAGCAGTCCTAGTCCAGGCTGCAGGCCAAGCAGAGGACACGGGAGAGCCATGTGGCCACAGGTACCTTGGCTCGAGGGCTGAATATCAGTCCCCTGTGAAGGGCCAAAGCCACTCGCTTCACGAGCTCCTTCCTTATCCCATCTTCCAGCAGCTGCTTTGGGTCCACCTGAGCGCAAACAAGAAGCACAAATGGTGGTTAGGAACGTTCCGCCCCGAAGAAATTCAGAGGAGAGACAACTCGCAGAGCCCGCAGGGGAGTGGTGTCCTCCTGGTTTTGACACGAGCTGGGGGCTTTCCTTTCCTGCCCTGTGTGATCATGCACAGCTTGGACGGGATTATTAAGACTGCAGCCTCTCTAGGGCTCTGGTTATCTCGGTAAATTTCCTGATAACTTTACGGTATGACGTTTCAACAGTGAGCAGGGAAAGTCTCAGACAGTCTCACATTCTACCCGTTGTGTTAGATGTACAAGCACCGGTCTCATCACGGGGTGGTGGGCTGAAGGGCCCACGTAATCAGATGCACGTCTTCTCCCGGGTGTATCTCAGGGCGTCTATGGCCACACATGCAAGCCCACGCGTGGGCTGGACCCCTCTGTCAACAGAATGACTCTCTTTTCTTTCTGCGTTCTTGGAATGCTGTTTCTTTTCTTTTTTTTTTTTTGGAGTTGGAGTCTCACTCTGTTGCTCAGACCTCGACCTGCTGGGCTCCGGCGATCCTTCCGCTTCAGCCTTCCGAGTAGCCGGAATTACTGGCACGCACTACCACGCCTGGCTGATTTTTTTGATTTATTGTAGAGATGAGGTCTCGCCAAGTTGCCCAGGCAGGTCTCGAACCCACAGGCTCAGGCAATCCACTCACCTCAGTCGCCCAAAGTGCGGGATTACAGGCTGAGCCACTGAGCCTGGCTGGAATGTTGTTTCTAAAGCAAGTCTGGTTACAGCGTGCTTCCTAAGTGGTGCTGAATGAGTGCGCTCACCTCAAAATAGACTGATATGTTGCATGAGTGTTTCTGTAGCTTTCAGTATCTGCTTTCTTATACAATAAAAAGGTAAATTACAAAAATATAATCAATGAGTACAAAATCAAAGTAGCAGCACTAAGTTTTCAAAGAAATACTCTTTGTAAGAACAGACTGGGTGAAAGAGTTGGATGCCTTCATGGCCTAAAGCCCTGACGTGGCTCTTCCAATTCTTCCTGGCTCTCTACTCATCCGGGGAGTGTTCACAGCTAAGAGGAGGCCAGACTCACAGCCCCGGCCTCCATGCCGTTTCTCCTCTCGGAAGCGAACAAGAGTTCATAGTTCCCATACAGAGCTTCCAGACCTTGCTCTGTTCATTTGTAGACATAAATGTTTGTCCTGAGACACATATTTGATTTCAAAAGTCTAAATGGGACCATTGTTAGATGTGGATATGTCATAGTATATACGTTGTTCTGCAATTTGCTTTTTTCATTTTCTATCTTGGAAATTTTCCAGGGACAAATTCTTTTGAATGGCTGCAGCCCAATCCACGGTATGAATGCACCATGAGATACTGAGCCATTCCCTGCTGCTGGGGGTTGAGGTTACAGCTCTCCTTTACTTACAATGGGGATGCGTCCTGGTAAACCCTTCGTAAGTTGAAACTATCTTAAGTCAAAAGTGCATTTAATATACCTAATCTACCAAACCGGACAGCTTAGCCTGGCTTACCTTAACTGTGTTCGGAACGCTTGCATCAGCTTACAGTTAGGAGAAATCAACGGACACACAGAAACGCTGTAATAAAGTGCTATCTCATGTGACTTACTGAAGACAGAATGGAAACTGAAGACAGATGTCCAGATATAGTCGTAAAGTCAGACCTTCGTACATCAGGGACTGTTTTTTTTTTTGGCTGCCTCTAACAGTAAATGCTCGTATGCATACCTGTGTATTTCTCACTTGTTCTAAGTCATGTCAACCCAAGGGAGTCTACACTTTCCCTAAGTGTATGATACACACACTTAACACACTCCAAGGCCCCACGTGGCTGCCACTACACTAGAGAGCATCTCCTGAGTTGGCCAGTGAGATATTCCTCCTGTTCTTACCATTGGGAGGGCTGTGGGTAAGACTCATGTTTTGCCGAGCAGTCTTTCTTTTGGCAGTTACTGCCACTGACTTGGATTAGAGCTTACCCTTCCTTCCTGCAGCAGCCACTCTGCAGGCCTAGGACTTCTCACCCTGCACAGACCAGCCAGAAGCTGCAAGCTGCATACTGTGTTCCCTGCACAGCAACTGGACTCAACTGGCATCAGGACTAAGGCATGTTCAGCAGATTCCATCAGCAGTAAAGAGGCTCCCACAGCATTTCTCCCCACACACCTCCAGAAGACACACGCCCAGCTCCATTTCTACCTGGGCTCACTGCCTGTATTTTCTTGGACTTTCGTAACACAGACCTCAAGCTGGCAATTTGGTACCTACTTTTTTAAAACAAGATTAAGAAAGTTCAGATTCTACTGATATCAGATAAGTGGAAAAACACACCATCAACCCTCAACGGGCACATCACTAGTCCTCAAAGCACTCTGCATTAAAATAGCAATGAGACAGCACTTGAGCCCTGGGGATGGCAAAAACCAGCAAGTGGACAGTGCATGCTGGCAAAGATCTAAGTAGATACACAGCAAACGGAGGCCATCTGGCTATACCAAGGCAGAGTGAGCAGGACAGACCCAGAGTCCACCAGCCACTCCAAGGCATGTGGGTTTCGGAGAAATCTTTGCTCAGGTTGGGAGAGGGGACATGCTCAGATGCTCATTGTGACCCTGCTTGTGACACTGCAGCAGGCGGCTAAGTAAAATGTGAAATTGCACAGCCACCAGCAGAGAGGAAAGTTGGAAAAAGAATGAGACTTCAGACACACACACTACACAATACTCAGGACATGTGCACACTCAGGAACACGCGTCAGCACCGGGATGAGTGCTGCAGGGAGCGGAGGTGGGGGTGGGGACCCGAGAGACGCACAGATGCAGAGGGGGCGCGGGAGCGGCGCCGCGGGCGGCAGTGAGGGCGAGGGGCAGATGCCTGAGCTCGGCTCCTGGGGCGCAAAACCAAAATGCAGGAAAGAAGGGTGAGTGGGGCGGGGAAGCAGCAGTTCTGCCTAAGGGGAAGGAACCGTGTTTGCTTTGCTTTTACAGACATTCAACGCCGTGGATTTTCCTCAGATTTAAATACCTCCTGTGTAAAACATGACACATTTTCTCTAAAACTGTAACATACAGACATTCCTAGATCAGACCACAGGACTGTCTTCAGGTATGATGATAAATAAATATTGTGATACTTTCTCTTCCCCCGTCAACAAATGAGTGAAATCAAAATCACAATCAGAATGTGAAGCTGCAAGACGTCGCTCCTTTCCACATGTGGGAATTACCAAAAAAACCAAACGACCAGGAGGCTCGGCATGAGGCCACGTGAACTGATGAAAGCCAGAAGACAGCTGGGATTGGACGGAAACGGGATGCCACGGTCGACCCCGAGATGTGAGGAAACCGGTCCCAACTGGTCTGGGGGTCCGGTCCCTGGGAAACGGCACAGACCTGCGGCATCTCATGGTTTTCAGTTCTAAATACCGAGATGATCTCACTCCCTGGTTCCACACAGGAGAAGCACCACAAAAACCCAAACAACAAGGGGTCTTAGCGCAAGGCCACATCCACTGACAGCCCAAGCTGACCTCGATGATGCCAACCAGAGTCGTTTTCATCATTAAGATGCCTTCAGTAAAAATCGAAATAGCATGCGTCAGCTTGGCAACCTGTAACAGAGAAACAGAACAGTCCGGATTAAAGACCATCTTTTCCGAGGAAAGTTACAGTCACTGACCGGCAGTCCTTCTAGGACTTCTAGGCACAAGGTAACAGGAAAGGAGCGTGTAGCTTGCGGACACGTGTGTCCACACGTCCTGGACAGAGGGAGGCCTTGTGAAAGAGGACATCGATGCCTCCTCTAGTGTCTGAGAAAGCCTTTCTCCTCCTCTGGGCCTCGTTTGCTCATGGCTAGGATTCAGAGCAGCACTCAGTGACACAGATGGTCTCTTCCAGCGAGAAAAGACGAGTGGAGACTGAGCAGGCCATCTCCCCGCTCACAGCCTCCGTTATCTCTTTCAGGGAGCACTAGCAGGGCACTGGCAAGGCAGACAGAGGCTCTCCTGCTGAGTCAGAATAAATGTGGGAACACCGGGCTTGACAACCAAAGCTCCTGATGTGCTTTCTGGAGTCGCGTCAGAGAATGGGAGACTGACACGGGACATTACATTTTCGCTTGATTTTACTTGTGATGTCTTTGAATTTTACGTTCAGGGAGAAAGAAAAAGAGGCATCTGGGGAGAGTAACCTGAGGCTGTTTAGTCACTAAATGGGCGTGAACTCTGCCACAGAAAATGGTGAATGCAACACAGGTGCTTCGGAGCTGGTCTGGCGCACAAAGCAGGAGCGAGAAGGCAAGGTTGGCTCATCGGCCCAGAGAAGACCGGGACCGTGCTAGAGAGGTGACCAAGGAGCCCTTTCCGCTGAGCACATCTAGGGGAGCGAGGCCTTGGGCGATGCCCAAGAACATCCGGAATGAAGCTGGGGCTGCATGGAGGCTGCCCACGACCATCTTCCCTGAGCGTTAGGGAGAGCGAGCCGGCACAGCCTGGGGGTTTCTGGGGCAGAGCACAGGCTTGCGACAGTGCCCAGAGGCACACGGCGGCCCAGGGACACACACCTCGTACCGCGGCCCCAGTTGGGCGTACTCCCTCAGCTTGTCTTTGTCCAGGCGGGTGGGCACTTCGACGAGGTCGTGGGTCTGAAGCTTTATGATCTTCAGGAGAGACGTGAACATGCTTTCAGGAATGATCTGCAGAACCTTCAGGAGAGAGCAGGAGAGACAATGACTTCTCTGAGCTGACAAGCCTCGGGCACAGCCACGGGGCACCGGCACGACAGGCAGCAGCTGTCTCTCGGAAGGGAGGCTGAGACACTCAGAAGGGCTGTTCTTAGTAGCTGCTGGCGGGCAGGGGTCCCTTCTGCCGAGCAGAACTGCCCACGGAACATAAAGCTCCTCCTCCCAGAAGTGCCTCAAAAGGGTCTGACAGATCTAAGACAAGGTTCAGAGTCGTTCAGTGACATCACTGTTGAGTCCTTAGCTTGTGTGTGACAGATGAATTCTGAAATCAAGCCTGCCTGGCACCGTGCTCCAGCATAAGTAATTAAAACAGGGACCAAAACTCTCCTGAGAACCCGAGCGAGGTTCTGACCAGGACGTGTGGGCTCGAGATCTGACTCTTCTACTAATCGGCTCTGGGACCTTGAGGAAGCTACCATAATCTTTCCACATCTATAAAACGGAGGTTAATACCACCAGCATTAAAAAAAAAAAAAAGAAATAGGAGCTCTTTGCAAATAAAAACACAACTTTCATCCACAGCAGCAGTGAGAATAAGTTCATTTTTGGATGCTGCAAATTTCTGGAATCCAGTTTACAAAGGAGAAGGAACATGGGGTGCTTTCTATAGGGCCCAAGTGCACCTTCCATATTTAAAACAGCAGTCAGCCAACGGGAGTGTCAGCTCGATGCACTTCACACCTTTCTCACGTAGGTCCTCACCTTTCTCACGTAGGTCCTCACCTTTCTCACGTAGGACACCAACTCGCCAGAGTAATACTGAGACACGCTGAGAAGGTCGGGGCTATTCGCCTGATTAATACGTAGAAGGGGCAGGTCGAGGGCAGATGCCAGCTGGGGAAAAAGCAAGACATATCTGTTCCTCTGGTTCAAAGAAGTCCTTCTGGTCTTGCTCTTTCCAGAAAACGTAACATACGACAAAACGTTCGTGCTTAACCTGAGAGAGGGCAGCAGCCACAGCTCATCAATGTCAGTAGCAGTTCCCGCGAGGCCGTTGCAGTGTCTGCTGGACCAGCAGCAGCATCCCCTGGGAACTTGCCTGGCATGCCAAGTGCTGGGCCCACCCAGGCTGACGCAACCAGAAACTCCGGGGCAGGGCCCAGCAATCTGGTGCCATCAGCTCTCAAGCCCGTTAAAACCAAGCTTGAGACTGTGCGTGGCCAAGCACTGTGTGGGAGACAGCGGCAGCCGTGTGGAAATCAGACTCCGTGGCCTACGGACTACTGAACCCGCTCAAGCCAAGCTGCGACCGAGGGCGAGAATTGTCACTCTTTTATGTGCCATTCGGAAAGACATGAAATACTGACAACTAAATCATCACACGCCATCAATTATAAAGCCTATCCCCAATGTCAGATGTGCTAAAACACGAAAAAAGTGCATCTCAGAACTGATCTACATGGAAACTCCATCAGAAGCCACTGAGTCGAGTGCTCATTTACCATGACCTGAAATGACCTTGAGAGCAAGGGCAGTGCCTGTGCTCTTTACCACCAGTCCCCACCGTCAGAGCAGATGCCAGTTTGAGCAGAGGCTCAGTAAGAGTTTTTAATGAATAAATAAAAGGACTTAATTCCTACCTAAGGATAAAGGCCCTAAAGACTCACATTTTTAGTACACTGACAAGTCAAAAAGAAAACAAGATTTCTTTCATTCAGAAACAAGATTCAGTAAAATGTTTCAACTTACTCAAACCTTAAATATTTCTGGCATCTTTGAAACTACGCTCTCGTGGAAAAACTGCCAACAATTTTCACTCTATAAAAGTGTTTAAATTATTCACGCTTCTAAAGGACGACATCCTGGGCTGAAATAATGACTGAGGTAAGGACGCAGACCGCACTGACATTTCCTGAGTCTCCCTGTCCTTCACTTACCTTCAGGAATGTAGCTCTGAGTTTGGTAACCATGGAAGGGTTGACTCTTATGCTCTCTTGCATGATGGCTGTGAAACTGTCAAGAGAGAAGTGGTAAGACGACGCTCCTCATGGCTTCGCCAAGGGCAAAGGTCAGGCTGTCCACAGTACCTGTCAATCAACTGCCACGCAAAAGAAAGGTCCCCGACGATCTGCATGGTGATCAGGACCTCCTCTTTAATGTTGATGGTTCTGATCATCTGATGCAGAAACTTGCGCGTATCAGCAAGAAACTGGCAGACTTGCAGATTTGATTCCAGCTGGTGAAATTCTTGAACCTGTGTTACATAAGTACGCTTTAAAAAATTCTGAATGGTCTCTATGGTGCTTACTTTTCTTTGAAAATACTTCAAGTAAAGCACACTACATACTAATCATTTCTTCGTAAAATCTTTATTTCAAACTATAATTTCAGAACTATACAAGCCAAATCATTAAAACATGTGCAAGTTTCTAGGATCAGACCATGTTCCACTGCTTACTATCCTGTATATATAGGACACCATCATAAACAAATACTACCATTTTCTATTTTATGATAAACAAACACATATTGGTAAATCCTCTTAATTCTGAAGATATGTCGGACTGCTAAGAAAATAAGTCACATCACAACCAGTGTGTTGGCACTGGATTTATTAGGTCTTTTTGATGTACTCTTTAAAAAAACGATTCCTCAGTGTCCCGAAATTTTCAGGCACAGAACTCAAGCGGCCTGGGCCACAAGCCAAACTAATAAGGCAAGCGATATAAAGCACCCAGGATTTACAAAGGCGTTTGCAACTGTACTGCAGACTGGAAGATCCAAAAACAAGCAACGAAGAAACAACACAAGTCTGCAGTTGCTCTGGAATTAGACACTTTGGTATGCCAACACTTAGTGCTATACGACGTCGCCATTCATAGTCACCGTCCTAAAATCCTGGAATAAGAAGCAGTCTCTAGGAAAGTCTGCCAGGTGAAAAAAGTGTCAGTTAAATCTCTAAAAATGTCTAGTCACGCCAAATGGATAGAGTGACAGGTCAGGAGTAGAGATGACTTCTTGAATAATGAGAGTTTATGGTTACTGTTAGTTTCCCTTTCAAATCCAACTAAATATATAATTAAAATTTTAAGAGTGGTGAGGTATAATCTTTGCTTGGTAATCACTCAAAAATCATTTTCTGAGTAGATAAAAACGAACTCTTTCCAGGAAAGAAAATACACCACTTTGTAAGCATATAGGATTACACGATTATTTTCATTTTTCTGTATTCCTTTCTAGTTGTTTCCCCCAAGGCACACTTTTACAAACCTGAAATTGGTATGCATACACACGTAACTCTGATTTTGCTTTTACTTCCGTATTACAATTTGTCCAACGTATCTATACTGTTTTCATAATTACTTCTAAGACTACATGATTCCTCAAGAAGAAACACCATAACTTTTGTTACCATTCTCTTCATGCTGGTCATTTAATTATTTTCCCAGTTTGAGGACACTGTATACAATATTACAGAAAGCACATTAACTCACGTTGCTCTTGCTTCTGATGAAACGTTCACTTAGTGGTATTGATATGAGCGGAATGTTGGGCGGGTCATAAGGTAGGATGCATGATCCCAGAACTAGCGCGTGAAAGGACGCTCCTTACCTCCTCCAAAGCTTGTATCAGCTGCACAGTTTTTCTGCCTGCAGCAGTGGAATCATCATAATTTAAAGACAATATCTGCTTTGAGATCTCTCTGAACCAAGCTTGAAGGTTTTCTGTTAACACAAAAACAAGGAGAAACTACTGAAATCCCAGAACAGCCACCGCAGCCTCGATCTGATGGGCTTAGGTGATCCTTCCGCCTCAGCCTTCCAAGTAGCTGGAACTTCAGGCATGCACCGCCATGCCTGGCTAATATTTGGATTTATCGTAGAGACGAGGTCTCACCAAGTTGCCCAGGCTGGTCTCGAACCTGTGGGCTCAGGCAATCCTCTCACCTCGACCTCCCAAAGTGCTGGGATTATAGGTGTGAGTCACTGGGCCTGGTTTCAAATCTAGTTCTTACCGAGCTTTTGCCAGGTGGCTAGCACAGCCGCTAGGAATTCTCCAGACAACAATACGACGCCTGGAGCATGCAACCTGGGAGAATCGATTATACTTCTACACAGTGGCTTAGCCAACAATGCTTGGCCAGCCAGGACTGAAGGCCCATGTATGCATCATATGAGTAAGTGTGAGGGTGGCAGAGGCAGCAAGGAAGCGTCGGAAAGGACCTGGAGGACGCAACCTGGGTGCCAGGGCGTCTTCTGGAGAAGAGAGGCTGGGGGAGAGCTAGGGAGTCAGAGGTGAAGAAAGGCGTCCATCTAGAGGGAGGAGGACGGCCAGCGGAGACTCAGGGCAGGAGTGACATGATACGTTCTGGGGGGGGCAAAGGAGATCGGCACACCAGAGTGTGGGCACGGGTGGCAAGTTGCAGGGATGTCTGGTCGGCTCAGGGGGTGCCGTCTGCACACACAAGCCAGCGGGCACTTTTCCCTGCAGAGCAAGGGAAGGCTGCCGACCCGCACTGTGCACTGCCACTTGTGCACTGCACGTCTGCGCTGCCTTACCCCTCACAGCACTCCACAGAGGCGAGAATCGTCAGCCGTGTCTCACTAAGGAGGCTGACGCTCAGAGCAACTGCGGTCTTACGCAGGCCACAGGTGCCAGGTGGCCAGGCCCAGAAGTACACAGCTGTGTCCAGGTCCAAGGCTTTTCATGCTTATCAGTGGGATGGCCCCATGCTAGGAAGAAAACTTAATGACTTAAACATATTTCTTTTTTTTTTTGTTGGAGTCTTACTCTATCGCCCAGGCTGGAATGCACACGCTCATGCCCATCGCAGCCTTGACCTGCTAGGCTAGGGCAATCCATTTACCTCAGTCTTCCAAGTAGCTGGAACTACAGGCACTCGCCACTGAGTCAGGCTAATTTTGGATTTACTGTAGAGATGAGGTCTCTCCAAGTTGCTCAGGCTGGTCTCAAATACCTGGGCTCAGGCAATCCTATTACCTCTGCCTCCAAAAGTACTAGGATTACAGGCGTGCGCTCCCACGCCCAGCTAACTTTTGATTTATTGTAGAGACAAGGTTTTGTCAAGTTGCCCAGGCTGGTCTCAAACCCCTGGACTCAGGCAATACTCTCACCTCCACCTCCCAAAGTGCTGGGATTACAGGCGTGAGCCACCACACTCAGCAACTTAAACATATTTCAAGAACAGGCATGAGGAGCACTTTCTGTGCAATGGAGGATAAGGAGTAAGAGAAAGAGCACAAGAGCTGGAGTCCGAGGAAATGAGCATGACCAGGCCCTGCCCCTTTGTTGCCTGAGGCAGATAATTACAATTTTAGGCTCCAGTTTCCTTATATATAAAATCAGAATTCAGGCGTGTGTCTCCCAGGGCCATAGGGATCAAATGAGAAGACTCTGTGAAAGTATTTTCTGAAGTGAAAAACACTAGGCAGCCATGAAAGAGCAGGGAATCGTCTGATCACTGAAGCAATGCTCGCATTTCTAAGGACCTAAAATAAACGATCAGAGATTACTGTGCTGATTCTAGACAACTGATCCAGTCAGATGGCTGCAGGTGGTTGTTTTGCTTTTTAGCAACAATATGGTGACCTGCAAGAGAGTTACTGATTTCTATCATGTCATTATAAACTTGCTGACTTGTCCCAATAGGAGCAGTAACACAATTAGGAAACATGTTTTAGACCAAGCACTCAGCATCAAATCAGTCAATGAAAGCCAAAATACAGTAATCCCAAGCTCATACTGATCATGTTTTTAAATAAGAAGCTAAACTAAAGCAATTCTACTGCATAATTAACTTCATCAGAAATAAATCTGACAGTTAAATCAACATTAAGTATTAAAAACTAAAGTCTACTTGCCATCTTGGAAATCAGAGTGGCTTTTCAGGGGCAATTTTACAAGTTTCTATAGATAAAAATTTGAAGTGATGCCACTATTTTCCTACAGATAAAATTTTCTGAAAGAAGTAGGATTGAAAGAAATAAAACCTGAGCTGTTTCCTTTCCAAAACAGCCCTCTCCTGGCACTAGAGGGCAGGGGCGCTGGCGAGCAAGAACCAAGCACGGCTGAAAGACAAGCACCTTAGACGTCATCTGCCTGGTAGGTCACCAGCCCCGCTGGATGATGCGTCCTTCTGGGAAGACCAGGGGGCGACAGCTCCACCCCCACCCCCAAATGCACATTAGCTGACATGCGAGACTGGCACACCAGGAAGACAGAGGCAGATGACGACTCTCAGTTCCATCTAGGAACCAGAGTCACAGGAACCTGGGATTTCAAAGTAAGGTATAAAGTGGGTATGAGCATCGCCCAAAGGAGCACAGAGCCGTAAGCGGCCAAACCCTAACTTCATCAGACCCTCATAAGCGATGCTGAGGACATCATTTGACGATGAAAACATGAGGACCAATTCTTTTTTTTTTTTCCCTCGAGTTGGAGTCTCACTCTGTCGCCCAGACTGGAGGGCAGTGGCCGCTTACGGCCACCGTAGCCTCGACCTGCTGGGCTCCGGCAATCCTTCCGCCTCAGCCTTCCGAGTAGCCGGAATTACAGGCGCGCACTGCCACGCCCGGCTGTTTTTGATTTATTGTAGAGAGGAGGTCTCGCTGCCCAGGTGGGTCTCGAACCCGTGGGCTCAGGCCGTCCGCTCACCTCAGCCCCCCTACAGGTTGAGCCGCCGAGCCCGGCTGAGGACCCATTCTTGAAATGCCACCCTCTAGAGTCGCACATCACAGTCTGCAAACATCTCAAACACCAACGTGTACTCTTCTGCAGTTACCGTTTTTCTCCACTCTGGTGAGGGGCTTCACTCCCGAAAAGACCTCGGCAAGCTCGGTCATCCGCTCGGAACCCTCCTTCCTGTAGAGCTCCCACTTGGCTTGCTTTTCAGAAAGCATTTGTTTGAACATCTATTGAAGAAAAAACACACAGTAGGCTGCTTATAGGAGGACAGGAGTAAAACCCAATCCGCTATGAAAAACACCAACAACGCTGACCAGGGCCCTGGGACAGCTTTCGGGCATTCTGTCACACACAAGCCAGGGACACAGCCACACCCCCCCCCACAGCAGCCCTGGCCAAAGCATCCCCCGGAGGCTGTGGACCTGCTGATGCCCAAGTCCCACCTCTAAAGATTCTGGTTCAAAGGCCTGAGTAGGCTTAGGAATCAGCAATTTTATTGTGAAATTACATTTGTGACCACTACCCTATGGTTCTTTCTAGGCAACAATATCTGCAATTCTCATTTGATTAGTCTGGGAAGGTCTGAGTATTATCTTCTCACATGACTGGGGAATGAACTAAACTTCCTATAAATGGTGCTTCCTGTTTTACTATCTAGTAATTCTGCTTATTCATTCACTCCTTCATAACATTTAAATCCCACAGAGACTTGGGCAGAGGAGAAAATGGTGTAACTCTGAGTTTTATTTTTTAAATTTAACAAACGTAAAAAGCAAACTTATTTCTCACAAAGGACATGCCATCTCAGTCACAGGTATGGGTTTCTTGACAGGGCTCTCGTGATATAAACGTGTTCACAAACACTGACTTTTCTCTTGAGAAGTTCTCCATCATCATCATCCTAACAGATTCTGACAAGATGAACCGTGGGAGGGAGACTCTATCTGCAACTGAGTCTCACGGCTTTGTGGAATTCTGGGATGCCTGTGGAGGAGGGTCTCAGTGATCTGGGAAGGAGGACTCATCAACAAAACGGTAAGCAGGAGGACGAAGGACAGTGAGAAATACCCAGAGTCCACCCTGTCTTCCTGCATGCCTGGGACTGACTAGTGCCATTTGACAATGACCAAGCATCAAAACGAAATCACGCCAAGGCCTCTACAACAAGGCGAATGGCTTCAAGCCCTTTAGACACTTATTCATGTGACCTCACAGGGCTCAGGCCTTGTAAGAAGGAATCTGGGGTAGATCTGGTCCCTGAACTGGGAAATGCACTGTCCTATGAAGATGAGAAGAAACAGGAACAGTTACAGTGTTTTTAGAAGAATCGGAAAGTGATTCTAGAAACGGGTGGGGTGGGAGGCCAGAGAGGAAAGAGGCTCAAGAACCAAGCTGAAATGTCAGAAGTTCAAACGCATCCTTTCCTTGCTCAATCTGTACTGGGTGGTTTTTTTCTTTCTGCCAGGTCTTTTTCTCCCTGAAGCCCTTTAGCACCATGCCGATGTGACCTTCCCTCCAACTGAACAGACACAAGGAAGCTGTTCATTTCACTGCAGCCGAGTCCACAGAATAGATTCACGACTTGGTCAGACAGTTCAGACTTGCCCTGACTTGTACTCAACAACAGAGCTGAATGTAACCTACAGAATGCTTGGGTCCCAGGTGTTCCAGGTCATGGTCCTAACTGGGCTGAGGGCATTTCCATCATGGGCAACTCTCACTTGCCTCTGAAGGACCAGTTTTGCTTTGAGCAAGGAACGTGAAGTCTGGTTCCTGTTCTTGGGTCCTTTCTAGCTTCTCCTCTTGGCTTGCTCTGTCTTCCCCACTATACTGAGAGCTCCTAGATGGGAGGGACCTTGTTCATTTGTGAATTCCAGCACCCAGCTGGGAAGAGAGTATGCCCTCAATAATTATTTGCTATTCAGAAAATAACTAGTTAGAAAACATTAAATTACTAGATCAAAAAGGGTGGAATTTCTCTGATCTTATGAAATTATACCCAGACAAATCACTGAGGATAATGCTTGGTCATTATGTTAATGATACCGCTTCTGTTTATCCTCAGCTTCTCAATAGGGGACTAGAGTGTCCTCCCATACCTAGAAGATACAGAAACATCCAGGACCCCTCTAACCAGACGAGGCAAGGCAAAGATCAGTTCTGAACGTGCACTGATGTAAGAGGCTAGATCCTGGGTGCGCCTGATCCAAACTCCCAGGGTTACTGGCTATGAGACTGGGTATTCCCAGGGACTGAGGGTTTCTCGAGGGGTGAGACTAACCTGAAAACGTCCTTCGGGGAACCCAAGTCCTTGAAGCCCTTAAGATGACCTTGTTCACGTGCAACCTGGTAGGTCTTACGGCTCTGCACTCCTGCAAGGGGCCCAGCCTGGGCTGGCCCCTGTCCACCCTCCCGCCTCAGCTCACACCTTTCTCGCTACCCTCTGCTCCAGTCAGCTGGTCTTTCAGGTCCTTGAACTGGCCATGCTCTTCCCCACTCGGGAGACTCAGATACCTTCTCTCCTCCCTCCAGAATGTTCTCCATGGTGCTCTGGACCTTCGTCTGGCTAATGCAAACAGATTCCTTTCCAGGGCCCTTCAGAAGCTTGTGCTTCTCTCCCACAGAAGTCTTCGGGCTAGCACAGGATCCTGTATTTTAGGTACTTGGAGACACACGTTCCTTTCCTTCAGAGCATGTACCTCAGTGTAACTGACATTCTGGACGTGTGGCTCTGACTAAGGTATGCATTCTTCCTCAACTATGACCATACAGTCTGTACCCTTCCCCATCTCTATATCCCCAGTGAGAGTTAGCAGTCAATGCTGGGCAAATGTTTAATACTGTCCTTTGGCCATTAGAACTATCTCAGACACCTAGAATCTGTAGCTTGAATCAGAGGCACAGAGACTCAATTGTACTCTTTAAAAAATTATTTTCAAGCACAATAAAGCTAAGACTCTGTATTCATTCAGCACCGTTACCTCTTTGAGTATAAACTCAAACTGTGCCGTGTCCAAGAGCAGCTGGAAAAGGATCCTGGGGTTGTGCCGAGAGTCGGTCAGAATCTGGTCCTTGATCTGACGCAGGCGTTTGTTGTTTGGGTCGCATGCTAGAAATAGAAGACAAGTGTTATCTGGTTATTATGTGTGTAGAAGAGATCCACGAGCTCAGGTGAATCCTTAAACACATTCCTTCATTTTAAGCATTTACAAAGTAACAAGCAAAAGGTGTATCAATGACAAGTGGTGAAATACCGTCCATCTATGCTGTGAACTATCGAACTGTGCAGCAACAATGGGATCGGCCATGGACTGTCACCCTTGACATGTTGCTGAGTGAGAAGAGTGACTGGCAGAACGGTGACTCCACACCACGTGAGCATCCTGGGGGCGGCTTGCAGTTCCGGCCGAGTGGACAGGCAGAGCCTTTTGGGACTGCCTCGCAGGTGGTGGCCTCCTCATGGCCTGTCTGCAGCTGCTTTCGCTTTGGGCACTGGTCCTCCTTGCCACTCCACTGTGGACGGCAGGCCTGAGGTTGCTTCCCTTGGAGAGGTCTGCTTGCAGGCATCTGGGAATGGGAATTTCGGGAAGAGACGCCAACCCCATTTTGAGAACTCATAAGAAAGGCTCACTGTGCCTTAACTGTTTTCACAGACAGTGCTTTCCTTCTGGAAATCTGGAATTTTATGTGACTCCAGAGGGAGAGATCCTGGAAGCTTGCCCCCGGTTTCCTCTGGACTTCGCCCCAGGCGCCTTTTATCCTTCGCTGATGTTGCTTTCTATTCTTTTCCTGTGACAAAGCACGGCCATTATTTGCCTCTTAGTACAGCATTGGACCTGGTTGTATCGCTCCTGCCTGACAACTCAGGGCAGCAGGATTACTGATACCACAACGCAGCACCTCCAAACAAGAAGAATCAGACCTTGTGAAGGCCCATGGGTCTGGCAGGTACACAGAGCTTTCTGACCTGTCCACTTCCCTGGTGTACAGAGTTAAAACAACTAGGCCAAGGTCACAAAATGAGGCAGCGACTGACCCAAGGTCAGAACACCAGATGTCCTAATTCTCAGTTCAGTCTATCAGCTGCCAAGCTAAACCATTTCAGAGAAAATAAACCATAAATTAAAAGCACAGAATAACACATACTGATATTTGCTGAGATGGATTTATGGACAAGGCCAATTACTTACCTAAGAAAGAATAAGAAAGGTGGATGAGGCAACATCCTTACAAGTTAAAGATACTGCTATGGTTTCCATGTGTCACCCAAGAGCTCATGGGTCAGAAACCCGTGGCCCCTGTGGCAGTGGGGAGAGACAGAATCTTTGGGTGGTGACTGGGGCTTGAAAGCTCCACGGCACGGCTGGATTAATGCCATGACCACAGGAGGGGGCTAATTATTGTGAGATGGCTCCGTCACAAAAGGGACTCTTTCTCGTACATGCTCTTCCGCCCTGTTTGCCACGGGAGGCCCCGTCAGGAGCTGGTGCCATGCTTGTGGACCTCCCAGCCTCCAGAACTGAGAGGTGACTAGGCTTCTCAATTGCCCAGTCTGTGGCATTCTGGTATAGCAGCAGAAAACAAGCAAAGACAGACCTCTAAACTGCAAATGAAGTCAAAATACAAACTCTAGGACGACAGACAGGAGGTTCAGAGCTGAGTAAGGCACAGGTGGAAAGCCTCACTAGCACTGCACACGCACCTCCTCGTCCCCAGCCCTCCCGTCAGAACCCGAGGACTGTACGTCAGGAACCACCATGCTACAGGAGCACATACCACAGGTGGCTCTGGTGCTTTAGTTATGGGGGAGCTTGGAGAAGGCTGGTTTATACACTGATTTCCAAGTGGCTCCAGCAGGAGGAGGCCGTGACAACCTGGAAAAGAGCGTCTTCGTGGGAAACTGCAGAGTTGTCATGAATTCCCCAAAATTATCTGGGAGGAAATACATCGGAAAAGGTGACACTGACTACACAAAGAACATTTTCTCAGTTTCATATTTGCTATCTAAACAAAAACCGAGCAAACTCAAGGCATTTTGCTTGTCTTTCTATCAGTTCTAAGTCAGCCGGGAGTCTTCTGACATGCTGCTTTCACTCCTGGGTAGGGAACGTAAGTGCCAGCTGTTGGGCAGATACTCTGTACTCCTCCGTGCACTCATGCTGAGCTCTTTGCTGCAAATCAGGTTTGATGTCAGTGCTCGAAGGGCCGTCAGGTGCTGGCGCCAAGCTCCTGGACTGCCCGGCCTCCACAACAGCTTTTGTCAACAGCTCAAGACACCGAAGAAGCCTCCCGAGCAGGGGTCCAGCAACTCAGCAGGGGGCAGCAGAACACGCCTGCCTTTCTGCATGGCATGGGCCGAAATACCACATAAGCTAAATAAGCAGTTACTTTTCACACATATGACTCACAACCAGAGAGGCCAATCATTTGTTTCTCATAAATTATAACCCTGTGCGATTGGGTCTGACAACTGCCAGGCACAAAATGAAAGCCAGATGGGGCTGAAGATAAGATCACAGACCTCTGGCAAGCCGAGGCTGTCCCTGGCAGGGGCACAAATTCAGGAGACGACCAGCTTTCAGAGCAGACACGAGTTGGGCTGTTGTACAGAAGACCACGAGCTGAGTCACTAGAAAACCACAGCTGGTTTCTGACAGGATGAAGTGAGGACCCTGGATATTTAAGAGTGTGGGTGTAAGGGAGATTATAAGCTGAGTCAACGTAGTAAAATCCTCGAATTAGAACTGAAGCTTATGCAAAAAATAAACTCTACTAATGAAAAACACCAGTTAGATGATTAAAAGCTTTACGATTTACTGTGGGTAAATTGTAAATGTATCCAGGCCAATAAGCGAAGCAATGAACAAATCTGGAAGGCAGCATCATGAGAAAGGCTTGGGAGGCTGGGGGGAGGCTGAGGAGGAAGTCCACACGCTTTTCAGGACACAGGGGATGAGGAGGGCCAGCGCTGCTCCGGCTGCAGCCCCCACAGGATGCAGACAGGCAGCGGCTGGAGGAGGCGTGCAGTCGCCTTGGCGGGGAAAGCTGCGAGGCGGGGCAGCCAGGTTCCCCAGGGCTACAGAGCAATCAGCTGTGCAGCTTCTCCTAGACACAGCCGTCTCTGGAAGGTCAAGGACGTGCTGAAGGCAGAGCCTGTCTCCAAGCAGGGTCATGAGGACAAAAAGCAGAGGGTCCACAGGGCTGGTGAATGTCATGTCTCTTAGGGGGGAAACACGCAGTCTCAGTGAGCAAATTCATTAGGTGATCAGTGATGATCAGATGTCTGCGAAGCTTGAGGAAAGGCCCCAGCTCTGAATGGGCTGAGGTGCTTGTTCGACTTTCTTTTCTGCCACTACACCAAGAGTTTTAGGTGCAGCTCGTGGAGTTCTGGAGCATTTCCCATGGCCTGTGCAGCTCCTGAACTTCGTGGCCATAGTTCACGTGGATAAAGGTTGCGAAGGGGACCACGACCCAGAAAAGGCCAAGACCCACTCCACCCTCCGCGAGCACTCCGGCCTGGCCAGGCTGGCCACTCGGGGGGCCCGTGCATCTTCCTGTGATTCCAAAACCACATCACTTGCTCCATCACTTCAGCAGCCTAGAATTTCCTCTAGTCTTTGCTGCGAGTCTTTTTTCGTTTTATTTGACTCATGTATTTGCTTTTTACTCTGCCCCGTCGCTTCTCTGAAAGCTTCAGCCTCCCTCCTGGGCCTGCTGAGTTCCACCCCCACGTGGTTCCTTGCGGACCCCTGCCACTCCTCCCTCCAAGCAACATTTCTCCCCTGACCTGGACCAGATCCCACCAGCTGTTGGGGTTACACACTTGGCTCTCATTTTCTGCCTTGACCTTAGATCAGTTTTCCATGGCTGCTCCAATCAATGACCACACCAGTAGTGGCTGAAACCACACAAACGTGTCCTCTATAGCTTCAGAGGTGGGTTCTGACAGGGGTGATCATCGAGGAGTTGGCAGGGCTGGCTCCTTCTGAGGGTGCAACGGGAGGGGTGTTTTCTCGCCTTTCTCAGCCCTGACGCTGCCTGCGTTCCTTGGCTTGCGGCCCCGGCCATCTTTAAAGCCATCAAGGGGCGGGCGACTCTTTCTCACGAAGCTCTCTCTCTGGTTCTGACATTTCTGCCTCCCTCTTTCCGATCCGATTTAAGGACACCCAGGAGTGCACTGGGACAATCCAGGATCATCTCCTTATTTAAAGGTCACTGATCAGCAACCTCAACCCCTCTTCCATGGAATGCCACACTCCAGCAGGTTCCAGGATTAGGAGCTGAATGGACCCCTGCGGGGGAGGCAGCGTGAGTGCGGAGGTCTCGCCCTGCCCACGGCTGACCTGCAGCCCTCCCGCCCTCTTCACACGCACACACCTGACTCCCCAGCCTCATCCCGACAAGCTCCTTGAACCTGGGCGCTCAACGTCCTCCTACTCTACAGAGCCGGATGGTAGCTGGCAGGGGAGAGCTACCCTGCTGGGTTGCTGACTTATCCAAGTTGACACAAAAGCGACTGACTTGAAAAAGCAGCTCGCACCTTATCCCAGGCCTCTCTCCCGCAGCCCCGCTTTGCCCAGGAAGGAGGTCCTGGTCCACCAGCTCTGTGTGGAGTAGCAGAGGCAGCCTACCAGCGTCCGCCGTGTGCAGCATGAGCCAGCGGATGGCCACGTTGCAGTCTCTCAGACAGTTCAGAAGCCGCGGGATATTGTCCAGAACCATCTCCTCCCTCAAGTAACCTTCCTTCAGAAACTGCTGTACTTGGGCATGCACTCGATCGCTGACGGCGGCGTATCTGCTTGCCTTTGAAAATAAAAAAACTTGAGTTACATTAAAAAAATTATTTATCTTGAAAATGAATTGCATTCAGATGAACCCTTGACAAACAGCATTTCTATGTAAAATGAATAACGTATGACTATGAAAACCGGCTTCTCGGACATATCGAAAAGAGACCTGGACTTAGAATTCTGAGACCATGCCCTAGTTCTGCCTGTGATTAACATCGGTGTGACCCTGGGTTTAAACTTATGTCCCAGTCTCTTCAGATGTCAAATGGAGAGCCAGACCAGGCAGTTCCTCAGGCCCTTCCACTCTTAGCTTGGGAGACACAGGATACAATGCCAGAGGCCAACCTGCCTATTCTTAATATTGACAAAGGGGCAGAACAGAGCAGAAACACTCACAAGATGAGACTTCTACAGGCCTATGAAAGCTTAACCAAACACACACCTTGGCTTGTCAAAACAGAATTTTCAAACCAGCCTTTAGAATTTGGTCATTCTGCTTTACTAAAGCAAGAATCAAATGTTAAGCACCACTAACCCAGTCAAGTCAGCTTAAAATTACAGTACCAAGAAACTTCCAGAAAAGTCACAAAGGAGAAAATGCAATTTTGGAAAGGGATTTAAGTAATGAAAAATTAATGCTCTGATGTCAGTAAGGATGGAGGTGTCACTTTCTCTATTTCTAGGAGATATGCCAACATGGAAATTACTTTGTGCATTATTTACGTCATTCAATTCATCTGAATAAAACATGATGAAGTTTTTGAGTCAATGTCACCCACCCACACAGGAAACCTATAATCCAATCAGGATAAGGAACATAACCATTTAGAAACATCAAGTATGTTCCCCAATAAAAAGATTTCATTTTCCTTCCTCTCTCTGCTCAGATATTTTCTTCTGCCTTACATTTACAACGAAGAGACAGAATATTGCTACTGAAACTTTTAAGATGAACGCCTCGAGTCTTGCTGCTCATGCCATAAATCAGAAATGATGAATTTAAATGACAGTGACAGGACATACTACCTGCATCCGCTTACAATCTTCACCACCATCCTGTGGGTGAAACCACACTAATTCTGGCTCCTGTGAGACAAGTTCTGTCCAAAGGACACGGACACTCAGCAAGGTCTTAGGGCACTCCGTCTTCCTTTTGGCCCAAGTCTTCGTATACATATACTCCACAGGTTGAAAACCTACAGTTATGTCTTACTCTAACATGCAATCTTCACCTTTCATCAATCCTGGCACTAAAATGTCTACGTGAATAGTTTCCCGACTCCTTGGGAAATCTACCCAGACCCTCTCCTACTTCCTAAGCCAGGCCTGCAGCCACAGAGAAGCCGCCGATCACACAGAACCCACCTGTTCTTTGACATTCGTAAGGTCCAGGGTATTGTTCAAAGCCGTTTTTGCAGCTTTGTAAGGTTCCCAAGCGTCTGCTAGGTTAACTGTGATCCCCATGTAAATACTAATGACCTGAAAAAGGAGACACGGACTCAGCATTTGTGCAAGACCCACTCCTCCTTCAAGGCAAGGGGCTGGGCACACAAGGTGGACGGAAGACACTGCCCCTCCACATTTAAAGTTCATTCCTATGAAAAACCCAGATGGTCCAGATACACAGGTGAGCGTCCTGATGGTTAATTCTCCTTGGTGGATTATTCCTTTTAATGTTACATATGATCTCTTTATTATTATTTATTTATTATTAATAAATAATAAATAAATTATTTGTGTTATTTATTTGTGTTATTTATTATTAACCCTATTAATGTTTTCCTTTAAAACTCTATATTGCATGGCATTAACATTTTTCACTAGTTTTTCATTGGTTGGCATTTGCCTGGCATATCTCTTTTTAATTTCTTTATTGTGAGTGTGCCAGGATGTTTTTCTAGGTGTGTATCTTATAGGCGTCATGTAGCTGGATTCTGGCTTTCCTGAATACTAAACACATCTCTGATGACGGTATTAAGGCCACAGCTTCTTCCTGAAGCCTAGGAACACGAGGCCAGTCTGTATGTTCCTCCCAGTTGCCTGACTCTAAGCTCACGCGTATGACTCACCGTTGGCCGGGAGCCACCACCTCCTAACATGGGCTGTGCTTCTCAGACCCCCAGGAAGTCAAAGGCCCCTCATCAGTTAAGGGGATTCGACAGCTGGTAACAAGCAGGACGAAGCCTGCCGCCTGAGAATGGGATCCAATGCACTATATTTTGTTAAGACCTCTGTGTGGGAAGAAAGCATTTCTCATATTTTAAGCATGAAGCAAGTTTTACTCCTTCAAGAGTTGGCATTTTTAAGGGAAACAATGTTTACAAAGCTTCAAGCATGTCTTTGCAGTAATAAAAGACTTAATAGCCCCATCAGTCATCTTACAGATAAAAACTTATTATAAAAGTGAAAATTCTACTCAAAAGTGACAAATTACATTAATTCTGCTAGCTTAGATTAAAAAAAAGACAGGAATAAAAAACTTTATATAGCTGAGTTGCAATCCCAGCAGCTAAAGCAATATACATTTTACTACACGGTTTTACTAAGGGTATTCATTTCAGAAAAGTACTAATGGATTTTTCAGGAAATTTTATTGACTGATTTATACCTTCACATTATGATTTATAAAATTCTCAACAAACTTAAAACAATTTTTCCCAAGTGGCCAGGTGCGGTGGCTCATACCCATAATCCCAGCACTTCGCGAGGCTAGGTGGGAGGATTGCTTGAGCCCAGGAGTTCAAGACTAGCCTAAGTAACATAGTGAGACATCGTCTCTACAAAAAATAAAAAAATTAGCCAGGCATGGTGGCATATACCCGGAGTCTCAGCTACTTGGGTGGCTGAGGCGGGAGGATCGTCTGAGCCCAGGAGGTGGAGGCTGCGGTGAACCATGGTTTTGTCACTGCACTCCAGCCTGGGCGACAGAGTGAAACCCTGATTCAGAAAGAACATTTTTACCTGTGTGATTTTATGGGCCATCATTTATAACTTTGTAATCTCTGGGTCAAAGGCCAAATAGTAGGAAATTAGTTCTCGAGTAAATTTACTACCGAGAGAAAAGAAGCAGAACTTGCCCAGTTATCTGGAAAGTACTTGTCCACAATCTCGCGCATTTTTGCCTGCTGGGTGTGGAGAATGGCAGGCTCGAAGTAGAGGACCACGTAGAGCATGGCGGCTTGTGTGGCCAAGGCAGTGCTGCGGTGCTCTGGCAGGGGGTATGCCGAGACCTGCAAAACAGAAAGGCGCCCCAAGAGGCGGCTGTGGCACCCTCTGATGTGGATACGCGTGAGTTATGTCATCCGCTTCTGGGACACGCCTGTCTCTCCACAGCCCGGCACCCTTGGGATGCAAACACCAGAAGCAATCCTCAGCCCGTGGCACTGGCACCCGTGGCGCCCTTCCTGTCCGTCGCCCCATAGTGTTCTCCTTCCACCCTACACTCTGCTGCAATTCTAAGTCTTTCCTTGGTAAAGAAGGAAGTCCTAACCCAGCGCCTCCATGGCGTCCACTGTGGCGTCCTTCCCACCAGACAATCCCTTAGGATGGATGGGCTTACTGCCGCTAATGTCTCACTTTCTGTATTATTTGAGCCCGTCATACTGGACCTGCACCCGCATCCCAGTGGGGTTTCCTGAGGTCACTTATGGCCTCACAACCACAAACTCCCAGGCTTCTCTTCAAAACCCCCTTGCCATCCTCAGAGGAGTGAGGGTCTCTCCTCCTGGGCTTCCTAGATCCCACTCTCTCTCTCTCCAAGCATGGCTGAGTCCTCCTCTTCGGCCTGTCTTACGCTCTGTTCCCAGGGCTCCCGGCCCTCGTGCCCTAGGAACCTCAGGCTGCACGTAGGACATATCGCCTGGAGCTTGCAGAGCAGAAAGGGGAGAAATCATCGTAAGGACAGACACTGCCAAGTCAGGGAACTTGCAGGCGGGCGCATGGTCAGGCCCCGGGAGAGGCTGGGGCTGTGAGCCAGACGCCTCCATGCTTCCCCTTAACACGTCTGCCCCGGTCTCCCTCCAGACCGTTCTCCACGCGCATGGCACATGATGGGAGCTGCAACCCAAACTGCTTCCCAGGCCCAGTCCCCAATTCCCTGGAGACAGAGAATCTGAAGCACTGGCCAAGGGCAGGGGGACATGTCTCAGCCAGAGTGAGAGCCACCAGTCATGGGGGGGGCAGGGTGAAGAAGACACGGCACAGTCACAGCTGAGCCCTTGTGTGGATGAAGGCCACGGGGCCGGCGAGCATGGAAGCCCCGAGAAGCACTTCAGGAAGCCGCGGAGCATGGGGACCAATGGGAGGCAGGACGGTGGGAGGAGAAGCACTGAACAGTGCGTGCTTCGCATTCACAGAGGCTGCGTTCCCGCCATGGCTCTGCTCCCCTGTAACGGGACCGTGTGAACGTGAGCTATGTGCTCCGTGTCTCACTTTTCTGACCGCAACACAAGGGAGATGCCACCCACTCTGTAGGACTGTGGTAAGCGGGGGAGAGTGCTGCCTGGAAGGCCCTCCGTGAGGCTGCTGGATATGGAATTCTTAGCCAGTGCAGCTTCTAATTTGAGTTGTTAAAAAAAACCCCTAAAAACTAAAACCTCTTATTTACATCTAACATATTCACCCAGAACCCTAACAGGCCACCCGGAGAACTGTGCAGAGCAGCTCTGTCCTGTGATAAATGCCGTCCACAGGGGCCAATCTTTACTCTCTAACAGCAATAAAAATACAGCCTCTAAAATTACGTTTTCTTGCGAGCAATAAAGCCCAAAGGCAACTTTCCTTGTTATTCCTTTGAGTGAGTGAATGACACACACAGGCGGGCAAGGTGACCTCCATGTGCCACGGGAGCTTCATGGCTCTGTGGGCGCCTCCTCGGCCTGGACTGCCTCTCCCTTCCCTTTGTTGCCTGCTGTGACCCTGCTGCCACTGCTGCTCCATGGGCTCTCTGTGCTTACGGTAACGCTCATCTTGCTTTAGTAATTCCTTCCACGGTGTGGCTTCTTTCCCAAGCTACAAGCTCAGTATGGCTGGGGTACGGCCTGTCTTCCTCAAGACGGCCCCCAGCACCCAGCGCATGACGGGGCACGTAACACACACTTAGTAACTATTTCTTGAATGCGTGACTGAAAGAATGCATTTCGTGGCTGGGCGTCGTGCCTCATCCCTGAAATCCCAACATTTTGGGAGGCCGAGGCAGGAAGACTGCTTGAGCCCAGGAGTTCGAGATCAGCCTGGGCAACACAGTGAGACTTTGTCTCTCTGAAAATAAAAAAACAAAAATTAGCTGGGTGCATGCCTGTGGTCCCAGCTACTCAGGAGGCTGAAGCAGGATCACAGTAACCCAGGATGGTGCCACTACCCTCCAGCCTGGGTGACGGAGCGAGACCCCAACACAAAAACACAAAAATAAGTAAGTAAATGAACACACACATCTCCTTCCCCAAAGTTCACATCCCACCTGGTTGTAAATATCATCAGATCTCAGTCGACCAATGACCATACTGACGAAGGATTCATTGATAGGCACTCTCTGGAAATAGCTCTCGGGATAGCTGGGCGGTCTTTTGGCACCCGGTTGGCTGGAATAACCTGTACTTCGAAGCAGCTTACAAATATCATCCATATTTGAATCAGCAGAAGAGCGAGCAGCGCTGTATCATGTTCACCATGGGAAATACAAGGTCAAACAAACCACACATATTAGAGAAACTCAAGGTCCAGAAAAGCAGGAGAAATTACTTGCCTTTGCATAGTTTCAGGTTCAACCACACAGCCATTTATACCCTCAAGAGTCAACAACAAAGTTTTGAAAACCTGTTGATAAGATGTGTATTAGTTCTACGTAAAGGTCCACAATTCCTTTTCTAAAACCCTTGGGGCCAGATTTGTTTAAGAACACAGCATTTTTCAAATAAAAGAAAGTAATATGGTACATGGGTCATATATAATACTCCAGCAGAGTCTGAGTTGGCATCCTGTGTTCACACAGGTAAATGATTCCGGGGTAAAACTTATAAACAGTCACCAAAGCATGACAAACGAAGATCTCTCTCACCTCATCTCTATTCCAGGCAAGTCTGACTCCAGATGGTCTCAGGTCAGATTGTGCTTTGCCGCCAAGCATGTGACTACATGTATGTGAGCGCATTAATGAGAGTGTCTACCTGTATATGCATATTTTTTCAGAGCTCTTTGGATTTCAAAGTCGTGGATAAATAATATGAACCTGAACCAATGTTTCACAAATAAAAAAAATTTTAAATTATGTCAATTTAAAGTGGAAGACACATAAATTGGTTTTTCTAAGCAAGCTTCTCATTCTACAGAGATCTAATAAAAATGTCTATGATTTTCAGGGTGGAACAGTAAGCTCTGAAAGAAATGAACTGGACTCAAAATATTTTAGACTTGGAGAAGACCTCCTGTTTGGTGCAGGAATCTTCTACTACAACTCTGACTTGCAATTGTTCAGAGTCACTTCAATAATGGGTTCTCACATTCCAATGAATTAGCTGTTGTACTCAAAAGAACAAAGCCAGGTTTTAAAAACTGGGCTTGATAAGTAAACTTTTTATTCATATATATTTCCTTTTTTTTAAGTCAGTGTCTCACTCTGTCACCCAGGCTGGAGTGCAGTGACAAAAACAAACAAACAAAAAAACAGCTCAATGCAGCCTTGACCTTCAGGCTCAGGTGATCCTTCTGCCTCACCCTCCCAAGTAGCTGGAACTACAGGTGCATGCCACCATGCCTGGCTAAGTTTTTAAATATATTTTAGATAGGAGGTCTTGCTATGTTGCCCAGGGGTCTTGAACTCCTGGACTCAAGCTATCCTTCTGCCTTTGACTCCCAAAATGCTGGGATTATAAGCATGAGCCACCACGTCTGACCTTCTTTGTATTACTGAATGTTTTGTTTCTTCTAGGGACTATCAGAAATATAAGCAAGGCCATTCAAATTTCGTCTTTAAAAACATGGATGTAGCTGGGCTTGGTGGCTCAGCCTGTCATCCGGCGCCCTGGGAGGCTGAGGTGAGTGGACAGCCTGAGCCCATGGGTTCGAGACCCTCCTGGGCAACTTGGCGAGACCTCATCTCTACAATAAATCAAAAATTAGCTGGGCGGGGTAGCGCGCGCCTGTAGTTCCAGCTCCTTGGAAGGCTGAGGCGGAAGGATCGCCGGAGCCCAGCAGGTCGAGGCTGCGGTGGCCGGGAGCGGCCGCTGCACTCCAGTCTGGGCGACAGAGTGAGACTCCAACTCAAAAAAACAAAACCAAACATGGATGTTAAAACAGTTTATGGTCCAGCTGATGTGACTGACACGTGCAGCAGACACAGCTGACGTGAATGACTGACACAAGCGGCAGACACTCCTCCACATGCAGATACAGCTGAAGGACCAGCTAGTGGAGAAGCCCCACACTTCCTGCTCAGGAGGCAGCAGGGCCAGTTGCTGCTGAAGACAAAGCGCGCCCCACAATCCCCTCTCTGTTGCGGATCTTCCTCTCTTGCCCTATTAACTTTGTCCTGACTTGCAAGTTTGAAAATGTTAGGTCTGTCCCTCACATCTTCGTCCATGTTCCTGACTGACTTCTGCCTAGTGACCATGTCGTCTTCCCTGAATCTTGACTCTGACACTGACTTTGTCTTGGGTGTTTGACTCAATCATCCAACAACCTGAAAACCTGTATACTCGGTCCTGGAACTAGGAAGCTGGGTATAATGGCTCCCGTTTCCAGGACTGATTTCTTGGAGAATCCCAGCTCTGTACAGACACACATAACACACAACTGCAGATGTGTGCTGTAGTTTGGGTTCTGTTCCTGTGTGTACATGGGTAAGCATTCACTTTCAACCTGATCCTGAGTAATAACGCTCACCATTTCCTTGTATCTGCCAAGGAGCAATATTTGAAAATTTAAACAATAAAAACAAGGAGAATATTCATTAGGTTTCTAAAATCCTTTCAAATGTATCCTCAAGGTAAAGAAAATTCAGAATTCAGACTTCTTGTTTAAAACTGAGTTATCATCATCACAACAAAATCTGTATCTCTAATGACTTACATAGAGTATTTTACATGTAGTACATGGATTCTATGATTTGTAATCTATCACAGCATGCAGCATGGAATAATTGCTATCTTCTTACAAAATACTAGAAGAGACTCTTACACTGTATCCAAGAACACACAGCAGTCATCCACGACATGAGTGGTGTGACAGCACACCCTGTACCTTGCCATGCCAGCAGCAGTTCTGGGGGCATGTGCAGGCCCAGCCCAGAAATACCTGTATCGATAGTAGGAAACCAGCATTCTCTCTCGGACTTCCCCTTCAATCTTCTGGTCGATGACCAGCAGCATCACTCCATATAAGTACAGCGCTTCACACTGAGGAGAAAGGACAATCGTCAAACCCCCACTATGACACGTTCTCACAACGAAAAGCTGGCAATGGTTAACAAGAGAACTTGGCTCACATTTCTCCTAGAAGCTTTATATTTTAAGAAAAACACAGGCTTTCTCCGAAGGGTTCTCACTTTCTGTGCAGAATGGGCTTTGAAATATTGACGGGAAACACATTTGAATTCCTAGTAACTACCTTTCAGTTGACCCATTTTTGGTATTTTGCTTGGGACGCCAAAATGGAATCCCGATATTACGAATACCTCCTCATCATAAAGTCATGTACTTACTCGATAAACGTTTCCTAAGAGGCCACTCAGTACTAGGGACCAGGCTTGGGGCGTAGGGTGCCAAGTGAAGGAGTGGAATTCTTACACTGTGGAAGCTCAGACCGCCATCTCATCTTTCATTCACTTGCTATTCTGTCCAAAGCCTACCATGTTCTGAACTCAGATATGGACCTGCCAGTTGGAAAATGATTACCAGCTAATTTTGCTTCTCTTTTCTTTCCTTGTGACTTACAAGGAAAAAGGTGGTGATAAGTTGGCATTCTTGAGTTTCTGTCTTAACTGGTCACTATTACTTACCAGAAGTTGCTTTCCATCTTCATTGAGAAGCACAGTCTCTATGGTTTGCTGAATGTACACACCTTCGTTGAGATCATCCAGATATCTAAAAATGAAAACCCAGGTCAGGCTATTCATTTATAAACAGAACTTTAACTTTTTTCTTTTAAGTCGGGGTCTCAGTCTGCCATCCAGACTGGAGTGCGGTATTACAAACATGATCACCAATCACTGCAGCCTCGAACTCCTGGGCTCAAGCTATCCGTCCACCTCAGCCTCCCGAGTAGCTGGGACTACAGGTGTGCACCACCACACCCAGCTAATTTATTTTATTCTTTTTTTTTTGAAAAGACAAAGTCTCGCTTTGTTGCCCAGGCTTGTCTCAAATTCCTGGACTCAAGCGACCCTCCTGCCTCAGCCTTCCAAAGTGTTGGGATTATAGGCCTGAGCCACCTTGCCTGGCCAACTTTAACCTCTTGAAGAAGGAAAGATTTTTAAAAGCATGGCAGAACACCAGGCACTCAGACTTCAACTTTAGAGTGTGTGAGCTGTATTATTCCTAGAGATTTAGGGTGACAGGTTGACATGTACAGCTGTCCGAGTAAAAGGAACATTCCCTAGTCCTGATTTATGAATTGGATGTGTCTAGGCATAAAAGCCTAAGAATGTGGACTAGCTAGCTTAAGGGTTAATGAGGAATGGTGTCCCAAGAACCACAGAAGAGACAAAAAACGACACCAGTTCCTATTACTGAGTAAGTTCCTGTTCCCACTCTTCATATATAATACACTAGGAACAGGATCATAAACCACAGGACTGAAAGCTACATGGCTTAGCATAAACCGGGTTTATTATGATACTTCACAAGAGAACATTATATGTAATAAGATGCTAAAATACTTAAGGAAGGAAAAGACAATTATGTATGGCATGAACCAGGACGCTTTGCAGTGACACAGAAAGATTTCAATTTTCTCGCGTGTCCCCTTTCCCTCTCTAGCACCAGAACAAGCATTGACTAAAACCAATCAATACCTGTTTAAGTCTACAATGTATTTATGCACACTTTGAAATGCCAGATAAAATCTGGTGACAATTTCTATGTTGTTTTCACGAAATTCTTCATCTGTATCCTGGAGCTCTGGCTTAGCTTCCAGTTTGCTTTCCCATAACTCTGGACCCTAAGAGGAAAAACACATTTATGTGAAACCTCGAGAAAAGCATACTTTTTGGCAACAATTTCTAAATACTCTTTGCAAAACTTGTCCATATATATACAAACATACACTGAGTTGGAGTCTCACTCTGTCACCCAGGCTAAAATGCAGTGGCACACACATGGCCACTCCAGCATCAACCTGCTGGGCTCTGGTGATCCTTCCATCTCAGCCTTCCCAGTAGCTGAAACTACAGTCACACTACCATGCTCGGTTTATTTTTTATTTTTTGGAGAGACAAGATCTCGCCAAGGTGTCCAGACTGGTCTTGAGCCCACAGACTCAGGCAATCCACTCACCTCGGACTCCCAAAGTGCTGGGATTACATACAGGCTGAGCCACTGAGCCCGGTCTGTTCTTATATTCTTAAATATCAAAAGTTAAAGCAGAAAGCAATGAAGATAACAGAAGCCGAGCTACAAAATCCCTTTGAAAGAAAAGCATGCTGATCTTGGATGTAGTTAAAATTCATTTAAGGGCAGGGCACTGCAGTGACGTCAATGTGAAATACATTATACCAAAGCTATCTTTAAACAATTTGATAATACATGAGGGCTTTCACGTAACGCCTTGAACTTATTTTCAAGTTAGTGGCTGATATTAAATTTAGTTCAAATGCTTTTCTCTTTAACTCTTTTTTCCATAAATACTTAACATGATTTTTATGAAATGATAACAGTGAAAATGTTATAGAGGGAGATTACCTTAAAATAGCTGAAATCAAAGATGATCTCTCCATATTTCTGTTGATCAGCTCGATCTTTCAGCCTGAACACAGCAGGAATAAACTCGGAGAGCCTCAGGAGTTCAGCAATGATGGCATTGCCGCAGGAGACAATCCTCAGGATGGCCTGCCCACAGAGGTTGTTGTCAGCCAGAAAGTCCACCATTGTGAGGATGACCAGCTGCTCTGCCCTGGGCAGCAGGAACAACTGGTGGGCTTCCGAGTTGGTGTCTAGGGACGATCAGAGGAATTCAGGTTTGCTCCATTACGGAACCTGCATCAAGGAAAGTATGAATGTCTCCAGTGTTTAAGGAAACGTGTATATACAGATGAAACACCAACATTCTATTCTTCTTCCAAATTCACTAGCACAATTAGAACAAATGAATTCTGATAAGGGGGGGCACTTGGTCTCCAGGCTTCCCACCTTCCATGGAGGGACCATGCTAGAGTAGTACTCTTGGCCTCTCCCTCAACCCTGTGTTCACTATTCCTCATGAGAAAAGACGTGACACGGTTTGTGTCTGATCTAGAGAAGGAACCATTGAGCATGTGTGGGTTCAGTGGACCCTGACTGCACAAGCGACCCCCTCCCGTCCAGTACACTGGCAAATTCCCGCACACGCTACCAACTAAGCTCGGAGACACACCCCTGAATGCCATTTTGTGGCACCTGCCTGATTATTTCCTAGAAACAGAACTGCAGGGTTAAGGTATAAACTTGTCCAAGATTCCTTTCTTCTTTTTTCTGAGTTGGAGTCTCACTCTGTCAGCCAGACTGGAGTGCAGTGGCTGCTCCCAGCCACCGCAGCCTCGACCTGCTGGGCTCTGGCGATCCTTCCGCCTCAGCCTTCCGAGTAGCCGGAATTACAGGCATGCGCTACCACGCCTGGCTGATTTTTTGATTTATTGTAGAGATGAGGTGTCGCTGCCCAGGCGGGTCTCGAACCCGCGGGCTCAGGCAATCCGCTCACCTCAGCCTCCCAAAGGCGCGGGCTTACAGGCTGAGCCACCGAGCCTGGTCAAGATTCCTTTCAAGATTGCCATTGCCAGCCAGGTGCGGTGGCTCATTCTTATAATCCCAGCACTTTGGCAAGTGGAGGCGAGAGGATTGCCTGCGTCCAGGGGTTTGAGACCAGTCTGGGCAACTTGGTGAGACCTTGTCCCTACAATAAATAAAAACATTAGCCCAGCGTGGTGGTGCGTGTCTGTTGGTCCAGTTACTTGGAAGAATCGCCTGAGCTCAGCAGGTTGAGGCTGTGGTGGCCACGACTGTGCCAATGCATTCCAGCCTGAGTGACAGAGTGAGACTCTGAATCAATAAAATAAAATAAAATAAAATAAAAAGTAACAAAATAAAATTGCAGATGTCAGGTTCTATAAAATTCTGTGAAAATGATTTATAAATATGAAATCAAGCCTGTCCAAGCCTTACCCACTTCGGCACTGCTGTCCAGCACTGTGAGAAGAACCTCAACTCACTCCTCTTGTGTTCCAAGGTTCGCTCTGAGGATGGTTGGATCACTTAGTACACTTACACTGTCATTATTGTTACCAGGTCATTCTGACAGCTCTTAGAGGCAAGGGTTGCTCTCCCCCAACAGCTCTTGACTGAGTACCTCTTGGCCAGGCTAGATGTGAAGATGTTTGATCAACTCACCTTCTAATGCAGTGGTTTTTGAGCCCAGCTGCATGAGAGAATCGCCTAGAATCTTAGAGTTTCTGGTAAGTGGGCTAGAGGGATTTCTTAGCATCTCTGCTTTTAACAAGTTCCCCGATGATTCTGATGTGAGGCCAGAATCCTTACAAAAGGAGGGTCTGAGAGGTCTTGTGGGAAGCTGCAGCAATTAACAGGAAATTAACACTATCGTTCTCGTTATTCTCTGTGCTGAACTCATGCCCTGGCCTTCACAAGTATAACCAGTGCGTAAGTAACAATGTGAGGAAGAGAAGGGATGATCCCTGCCCCTGCTAGCCACCTGCACTACTGTCAGAGAGACAAGCCATGAAGAAAAAAACCAGAGAAAGAGAGGAAGAACTCAGTGTGGTCAAGATAAAGAATTAAGTAGTGGAGCACACATTCCATTGAGGCTTGCTGGGAATGGTCGCCTTATTATACCAGATGTTCTTTAGTGACATGAGCTCTCCTAGGGATTCAGAGCTAGAGAAGAAAACCTGGAAGCCGTAAAGAAAGACATATTTTCACAGCAATCGATGTGCAAAACATTTAAAATGGGAAGGGCAGATGAAGGGTTGATTTCTAGAACGTGCAAAAGGATCTCTTAAGCTGACACGGAGAGCTGGCAGCCGGGCAGAGAACACAGAGTGGGCAGTCACAGAGAGCAATCCAAACAACAGCTGTAGTAAACAGTCCTTGACGCACCAGCAGCGAAAGAGCTGTATGAATTAAAGCAAACATCAGAAATCATTTAACTTGCATTAGGTGGCAATGACTGAAAAGAATACTGCTAGCTCCAGGTAGGAATTGGAGAAATATATTACTGGTGAAATGTGAATTATGAACTAACAACATTTACTGAAATTAAAAATACACTCTAAAAAAGCAATGCACACTCTGACCTAGCATCCTCGAGCTTGTGATTCTAGTCCTGGAAATACAAACGCCAGCATATAAGAAGACAGGTCTGCGGTTTCCTGCAGCACTATTGGTGATCACGGATGCGTAGGCACAAAGAGCGCGCCCTCAGTGAGGAAAGCGGAACTCAAACAGCCACCAACAAGAAAGGGTTAGAGCTCCGTGAGCTAACTTGAAGGACTCCTGAGAGCTACTAAGTGGACAAGTTAAGATGCAGCAACATGAATAGGGCACCCCCATTTCATAAAACAAAAACTACAACCCTACAGAGGGAAACATAGAAGGAAGAAGAGCTGGGGGGGGGCAGGAGCAAGGGGAGGTGGGAGCCAAGCTAAGAGGCAAGGGAAAACAGGAGGTCCCGGGGAGAGGCCAAGCACCCAACCAGAAGCCACAACCACAGGGCTGTGCTGGTGCACGCCGAAGCCCCCGCATGCCCCAGCTGCCCGGCTGTCCCTCCCAAGCATCTCTGGTGCCACAGAGCCTCTGTAAAATGCCTCAGGCCCGTCCTTCCCCGACTCCTGGCCCCCTCCCACAGCCAGCACAGACAGCAGGTGGCAGAGAAGGCAGAGGGAGGGCCCAGGTGACCGGAGAGGGCAGTGAGAGAGACACACACGCTGAGCAACTCCTCGGACTTGGGGAGGGTTCAGAAAACCCACAAGGAGGGAATCTGTCTTGTCAGCCCCCTGCTCCCCCCAGGACTCCGCCGGAGAGACCGCAGAAGTCACAGAGGAAAGCTGCGCCAGGAGAGGAGGCCTGCCACAGAGGAACACCAAGGAGGCCAGCAGACAGGGCCGGTGTGTGGCCAGGGGCAGCTGTCCACTCGGCCCCCGGCTCTTGAGCCCTCTTTCTGGGGTGCTCGGCAGGCAAGTGAAGGGACCACTAGGGAAGCTGTGATCTTCCCACACTCTGTGCCTCTCAGATCCCAACCACAGGACCACGGCAACCAAAAACACCGGTCTGCTTTGAGCAAACCCATCCCGGGGAAGCTTGTTAGGAGCTGAGTCTCGGTTCTGAATACGAACAGTCCCGCTGGGCATTTAACAGCGCGGTGCGGCTGTTTCCTGACTCTTCAGGCTCTGCCTGGTGGGTGGCAATGACTGCCCTCGTACCCTGATGCCACGTAGCACTTCTGTATGGTACTACTGTCTTCTCCTCCAGTTCCCATCTTTTTAGTTGTTTGCTTCCATTGATTACTAAAATTTCCTTAGAAAAATTGTGTCACTTGTCTCACCTTTGGGAAAAGATAGCTATGTTCTAAAAACCATGAGAAGAAGGTGAGGCAACAACCTTTAAAAATGATTTTTTTCAGCCATGTGTGGTGGCTCATGCCTGTAATCCCAGCACTTTGGGAGACCGAGGGGGAGGATCACTTGAGCTCAGGAGTTTGACAACAGCCTGGTCAAAAGAGTGAGAATTCGCCTCTACAAAAAAATTTAAAAAGTAGCCAGGCATGGTGGTGTGTGCCTGTAGTCCCAGCTACTCAGGAGGCTTCGGCAGAAGGATCACCTGAACCCAGGGGTCAAGGCTGTGGTGAGCCATGATCGTGCCACTCGTGCACGATCCAGCCTGGGTGACAGAATGAGACCTTGATTTAAAAAAAAAGTTTTCCTCATGTGTCAATGGAGGAGGTCCTTTCTACCAAGGATATTTCTTACCTGCGTAAGGCTAGAGTGACTCTCAAGTAAGGAAAGGCATTTCAGAAAAAGCAGTGGGGAAACTTTGTTCAGAAAAGTGTCTTGGAACAATAGTTTCTGAAAATGAGCTTTATACTTAACAAAATTTAGAGTAATATCACAGCTGTGTACTAATTCAGTAGACGAGGATGAATCAAGAGTCGATGTCACTAAAATGTGACTCTGACAGTCCATTATCTTGCACATCATGCTTGACCTTCATGGCATGATTTTCAAAAAGTTGGCAACTTTTGTTAAGTTTCCAAGGTGTACTTTCCCAAAGGCTTCTGTCTACAAATTCTTTTTCAGACTATCTTTGGAGGGCTCACGTGCCATCGTCTTTGTCACTGTTCTGTTCTCTAATGCTAACTTTGTAGGTCATCGCTTGCTGGCTTCACAGACGCCTGAGGTGTCTTTCAGCTCCAGGAAGGCCTGAGCCTTCCCATCTGCACTTTCACTTTGTCGGCACTGCGTTGCCCCGAAGCGACTTAACGACTAGGAAGACTAACAAAGATGAAAATTCATCTAATAGAGACTGCTGTTTTTTTCGTGGGGGTCTCACTCTTTCGCCCAGGCTGCACTGCAGTGGCACGATCACAGCTCACCACAGCCTTGACCTCCTGGGCTCAGGCGATCCTCCCACCTCTGCCTCCCGAGTAGCTGGGACTACAAACCTGCGTCACCACACCTGGCTAATTTTTCGACTTTCTGTAGAGATGTGGATCTTGCTCCGTTGTACAGGCTGGTCTCAAACTCCTGGGCACAAGCAATCCTCCCACTTTGGCCTCCCACAGTGCTGGGAGGCAGGCATGAGCCACTGGGCCAGTCCTACTTTTGGACTCATAAGGGACAATTCTATAAGTGATCAGCTCATTGAAATTTTCTGTCAATGCCAATGTCTACTTTCTTTTTTTTTTTGAGTTGGAGTCTCACTCCGTCGCCCAGACTGGAGGGCAGCGGCCGCTCCCGGCCCCCGCAGGCTTGACCTGCCAGGCTCTGGTGATCCTTCCGCCTCGGCCTTCCGAGTAGCCGGAAGTACAGGCATGCGCTACCACGCCCGGCTGATTTTTTGTATAGAGGAGGTCTCGCTGCCCAGGCGGGTCTCAAACCCACGGGCTCAGGCAGTCCACTCACCTCAGCCTCCCAAAGGCGCGGGATCACGGGCTGAACCACCGAGCCCGGCTGCCAGCATCTACTTTCGTATGTGGTCTTCTAGCGGCAGAGACACAAATGGTGAGCAATAAGATGACGGGGATGCACTGTGCGTAAAACCAGAACGTGCGAGGCCTTCTCAGGAAGGGGCCTCCTTGTAGACACAGCAAGCCCGTGCACGTGATGAGCGACCTACCTCAGCCATGTGCTGCCCGGAAGCTGCAAGGTGCTCTCTTTTCCTTCTGGAAGGCTCTCACGGACTCAGTCTGTGGAAAGGTCTCACTTTACTGCAACGTTGTGGCAACAGCTGTTCATTTGCTAGTCAATAACATCTCCCTCCTTCCTCTTCTTTCTTACTGTAGAGGACAAAACGGCCAAGTGATCACTTTCCTGCCTTCCTTGAAGCTAGAGGCAGATATGGGAACCAATGAAATTTCAAAAGTCTATGGTGCGGGTTCTAGAAAATCTTTTTGACCTTCCTGCTAAAAGCAGAGAGACATGTCAAGAGAAATCTCTCTCTCCTTACTCTGCTGATTCTCCTGCTTCTTGCCTTTGTGGTACAGTAACACGTGATGCCTGGAGTTGCAGTAGCCGCTTGCGGCCATGAGGTGACAAGCCCAGGGGAAAGCCAAGATCTGCAGACTGTGTTGTGGAAGGATGGGAGGAATCTGAATTTTTGTTATGTTACTGACCTACCGATTGGACTGTGGAACTAGCTACTTCTGTAATCCTTGTTAAACGAATTGCTTTTGTTTTTATGGTTTACCCACTATCAATTGGGTTTTTGGATTATTTGGTGAAAACATTCCTAAGAATACACATCCATTTATTCGACAAATACTTACTAGTGCATACTATGTGCCAGGTACTGTTTTAGGGTCTGAGGTTACAGAAGTGAACAAAACTAAGTTCTTGATATCATAAAGCCTATGTACTGCTGGGAGTGGAAAGAGATAAACAAATACATGTATATGTATATGTCTATATGTATACATCAGGCTGTGATAAGTGCTGTGAAGAAAAAGCATGATAAGGGGAGGCTCCCATGCTAGTTGACAGAGTAGTTTGTGTCAGAGTACACAGACACAATCTGTGTTAGTACAGAGTAGTAGCCTCTCTGAAATGATATTTGAGTGGAAATCAGAAGGAAATGGGAGAGCCAGTAGGAAGCGTATCTGGCAGTGGCCAGAAGCTCCTAGGAGGGTCCTAACGACCTCTGTCTCCTGGTATTCGTGCCCTATGGGGGCTCCTCTGAGTGTGGGCTGACCCACTGACTCCCTCCTAAAGAACAGCTAGTTCCACAGTCCAATCGGCAGGTCAGTAACATAACAAAAATTCGGATTCCTCCCATCCTTCCACATGGTGGAAGTGAAGGACGTTATTCCTGAGATGCAAAAAGTCTGACTTCTGGCTTCAGTACACACTCTGGCTTGCAGGGCTGGAGAAGCAGCCTCATGGTGTGAGACAGCCCTACGGGGAGCCTACGTGGCAAGGAGCCCGGGCTTGCCGGCAACCACCAGAGTGAGCTTAAAGCAGATACCTCCAGCATCAGTCCAGCGTTCAGGTGAGACTACAGCCTCTGTCTCTCTCCCAGGCTGACTGCAACTTCTCAGGAAACCCTGAGCCAAAGCCAGTCAGCTGAGCCATACCTCTGATTTCTGATCCCTGACTATGGGGTTTATTGCCCTATGCCAGAATAATGAGCCTGAGAAGGGCATTCCAGGTAGAGGTTACAAGTGAGTCCAAAGGCCTCAGGGCAGGAATGTGCTAGACAGGCGTAGGAACAGCAAGGAGGTTGATGTGGCGGGAGCAGAGTGAGCAGGGGACAGAAACAGACATCCGGGAGGTGGACTGGACTGGGTCCAAGAGCATGGACTGCAGAGAAGCCACTACAGCTATCTAGAATGCTCTCTCAGGACAGTATCCCATAATACACATTCAGGTGTAAATTATTAAGAAGTCCTTTTAGCTTCCTCTGTGATGTTTGTTAAACCACACCGATCTCTTAGCAGGATGAATTTCGGACAATTTCATTTCATTTTCTGCACTGATATGGTCTGGCTTAGGAAATTGGGGGGGGGGATAACGAACAATGGACAAAACAGTCACCTACTCAGGTCCTTGGAAGAGCACCAAGCTAACGTAGATGTCAGCAGGACATGACTTAGCAGCAGTGGAGAGGGCACGATACAAGTGGCCCGGGTGCTGGAGACCACAGTGAGAAACACTGTGGTCCTGGAGAAAACAGTCAAATGAGAAGCAACGTCACCCACCCTTGACGCTAGCCACTCTCTCCTCACAAACAGAGGAACAGACAGACTTAGCGCCTGCCGTGTACATTTGGGCAGCTTAGGCCCGGGGTCATGACACAAATCCCTAGACTTGTGTGTGCCAATCTCTTCTTCAGTTCTTAGCCTCTTCCTCAAGAATTACAGGGCACACAACTTTAAAATAGCAGCAGCTAGAGATAAGAAAATAAACTTAGCCTTCCAAGTAGCCGGAACTACAGGTGTGTGTGTGTGGGGGGGGGGGGAACAAACATGTCTGGCAACAGTAAAGCAAACATTATGGGTCTTTATTTCCTAGATGAATTACATTACCTAAATTTCACATAAAAACTGTTGATGCTAGGTCGGGTGTGGTGGCTCATGCCTGTCATCCCAGCACTTTGGGAGGCTGAGGAGAGGTCTGCCTGAGCACTCGGGTTCAAGACCAGCCTGGGCAAAATGGCAAGATCTCGACTCTACAATAAATAAAAAAAAAATTAGCTGGGCGTGGTGGTGCATGCCTATATTTCCAGCTACTTGGAAGGCTGAGGCGGAAGGATTGCCTGAGCCCAGCAGGTCAAGGCTGCAGTGGCTGTAAGAGTGCCACTGCATTCCAGCCTGGGTGACAGTGAGACTCTGACTCAACAAAAAAACCAAAAACCAAAAAAAAAACTGTTGATGTTTAACTTGCAATGTAAAAGCAAAATATGAATTATATTTAATATGCTTTTAGTGAAATGAACTCATTGCCTGTAACCTGCCTCATTTCAAGGAAAGCCCTTAAGTTTTCTTTCTTTATCTAATAATGTAAGCATGTCATGCTGAATTTTTGAAGATGGAAGTTGAAACAAGATTAACTGCAAGAAGGAAATCACTTGGTTACATGATCAGTTACATTATTATCTACTAGACCTTCTAACCCAGATTAGATATATTTTCCACATAGCAAACAAAATTCCCATAATCTGCACAAATATCATTAGGCTAGAGTATTTGGTAAATAGTCCCCTTGTTGGTTGAAAAACTGGCTCTGAAGAACAAACTAAGAAACACCATGAAAGATGCCTTATCACACTGCAGTGGTCCAAGAGGTAGGTAGGTGGCTTTACAAGGTGTTAAGACTCAGTTAAGTCTTAAAATTGACTCTAGGATGAGGTCTAAATAGACATTGTAGGGTAAGCCACAGGAAGTCCTTTCAGAGGTTCTCTTGGTGCTAAGGATGAAGGACACTCTTAAAGACCAGCGTCCTCAATGTAAGATACATGAGCGTTGGCATGTAATGCAACCAGAGATCCTGCCCCATCTCCTTAGTTTCTTTAATAAGTTGTTCTTTTATAAGTTGTCATGCGCTGGTTTGTTTTTTTTCTGAGTTGGAATCTCACTCCGTCACCCAGGCTGGAGTGCTGTGGCATACTCACTAGGCCACTCCAACGTCAACCTGCTGGGATCCAGCGATCCTTCTGCCTCAGCCTTTCCAGTAGCTGGAACTACAGGTGTGTGCTACCACACCCGGCTAATTTTTGTGATTTATTGTAGAGACGAGGTCTGGCCAAGTTGCCTGGGCTGGTCTAGAACCCATGGGCTCAGGCAATCCACTCACCTCGACCTCCCAAAGTGCTGGGATGACAGGCTGAGCCACCGAGTCCAGCCGGTAACATCATTTTTAAGAATTCGGCATGGAACAGATCTTTAGTTTGGTAAGTAATCCTAATCAAAAGACAACATGCCTTCAAGAATGAAGCGCCCATCAGTACCCAACTATGCAAAGAGCACAGAATGCTATTTCTTAAGGAAAATGAACGGTCACGGACAAATTACTGTTTACAGAGCACAAAAGAAGACAGGTCTATCTTTATCCTTTCACAAAACTTCAGTTCTATAAACGAAGCACTGGTCTCCACAAATCCATTATCATGAAAAGAATGTAATGGTTGTTGACCAAAGTAAATGCGAGCTGCATGTATCTTCCAGAAACGTTCTGAAATGAGCCTGATCACTCTAGCCGGATTCCTGAACTCCGAGAAAGACAGGTGAAGCACATGGGGGGGGGGG